TTTGATGTAGCAGATGCGCATTTCGACAAATTATGTCTCTTCAGCGATTCTCAGACCAAAAGGTTGGAACAGATGAAACAGATGTGTCAGAATATGTGGTATCTTTTATTTCAAGCTCAATGGGATATATCGAGTCGACATATGAATGAATGTAACTATTGTTAATTGATAATACGTCGTCGATATATCGGAATGTCGAGTTGGAGGCCATAGCAAGTGTCTTCTCATGTAGAAGTATTTGAATAAATTCTGCTTCATATGAATACAAAAATAGGTCTGATAATAAGGGGGCGCATATGGTACCCAAGGGAATTCCTACAGATTGTTGGAAGACCTCATCTCTTGAGACTACATAGATATTGTCAATCAGAATCTCAAGCATCTTTTTAATATCAACTTCAGAGTACTTGTGCTTTTTAAGAAAATAATTTTGCAAATGACCAATGACAAGGTAAGTATATTTACGAGTTCCATTTTTATTGAAAAAGCAGCTGTCTATGATGTCAAAAAGCATGGACTTCAATTTATCGCGGGGAATGGTTGTATAAAGTGTTGAAAAGTAGTACGTTTTGATGATATTGATTTTAGTAAAATTTTGTGATTTCAAATTTTCTAAAAGTTCTTTGGAGTTTTTAAGTATCCGCATCTGATTTACACCACTTTTCGAATATACTGTTGTACAGTACTCCTGAAGTTTCTCCTTCATTACAGTAAATATTTTAGTGAGGAGTAAAGAAAGAGGCTTCGTAGAACATTTAATGGAACCCGCTATGTATCTTTGTTTGTTAGGATTTTTATGAAGTTTAGGAATCCAGTAAAGGTATGGTAATTCAAATTCATTTTGATTTCTGGGAATATTAAAACTATCTAAAACGGACACATGATTTTGAAGAATTTCCTCCTTAGAAAGGGAGCTATGGGTGTAAGTTGGATTTCCACCTGCAGAATTAAATTCTAGTTCCTCTAAAACACAATTCAAATAATGAGCCTTACAAGCAAAGATTATGTTGTTATCAGCTTTGTCAGCTGGGACCAGTACATACTGATCGTGTAATCTAATTCCTTTTTCATTTCTGAATTATTAAGTTTGTTTGTTTATTGTTTAACGTCTCTCTCGAGAATTTTTCACTCATATGGAGACGCCACCACTTGCCGGTGGAGAGTTGCAAATTTTGACCTATACTCGGCACTCGGGGTCATTGAGCAATGAGGGATCTTTTTAGTGCCAGCACCTACTGTTACACTGGACCTGCATTTATACGGTCTCATATGAAGGACCGGTCTCCACTTCCCACAGTGGGATTCGAACCCGTGACGTAAGGATCAACTCCTTACTCCGCGACTCTAGAGCGAACGCTTTAACCACTGTGCCACGCCAGCGACTCTGAAGTATTAAATACAGAAGGATAAATAGTTATCATACAGCCCCATAACCACACCATGATATATAAGAAGCAACTTATAAAGAAAACAAGATGTTCAGTGTAAGATATCATTTTCAGGAGTACTGAATAAAATTTCAAATCACCAACAACAAAAATACATCAAACTGTAAGTTTTTCAATTTTTTTTTATTTTGATTATTCTACTAAATGTTGTTATAATCATTTAAATTTGGATTATCTTTTTTAATCTACTACATGTTGTAATAAAACCGAATTCTTACAGTTTTATCCCAGTGATGATAAAGGACTGATATTCACAGCGTTTTGCTTTTCTAAAACATACACACATTTGTTTTTAAATTTGAATAGACAAATTTCTTTTGATTAAAGATAAGCAATAGAAAATCAAAATAGCATTGATCTATTCTGATTGAAATGAACATTTTATGATCAAAGATCATTTACGATAAACACGTACGATTTTATTTAATATTATAGAGAAAGGGCTAAAACGGCTTTGCCGCTGCCCAATACCATTCACTTTTTGAAAATAAAATTATGTATAAATAATTTAATTAACAAAAAAACATAAGTATCGAATAAGTTGGGACACCCTATGTAGATGATAGCGGAATTTTACTACATAAATAAGAAAAGTTGACGATGGAAAAGCTGAACTCATCTCGTTTGTCATACAATTGTCCCTTATCATCTAAAGTTAGTAAAATTTCCAAATATGAAAAGATGTATAAGACTCTGTGGTGTCTTTTATTTCGAGTTCACTGGGATATATCGAGTTGATATAAGAATAGATTAGTATAAAAAAATATTACATGTTTTAGAGTAACATGTGAAATTATTATCCGCGAAAACCATTGCTGCGCAGTTAACAATTTTTATACTGTTACTCGTCGTCATGCATTGTCAACCGTTGCTATGTAATGTTACCCGGAGGTTTACGCACGCGGTAGAGTTACAGTGCTTTTTAACAAACGTTTTAAATTGATAAAAATTTGACAATTTAACGTGAAAGCATAACAATGTTAATTGATAAAACAGTTAATTTAACTGAATGTCAAAATGAAGGCCACAGCAACTGTCTTCTTCTCATGTAGAAGTTTTTTTTAAAATAAATTCTGCTTCCTAGAAATATAAAAACAGGCCTTACTAATAAAGTAGCACAATTAGAGTCCAGAGAAATTTCAACAGTTTGTTGGAAGACCTGGTGTCCAAAGACTACATATAAATGATGCCATTGAGGAACTCCAGCATCCTTTCAATATGAACTTCAGAGTACCTGTGTGTAGAATCAGAAGGATTTTTAACAGAGTAACAAACTTTGATTCTATATCCTCTACATTCATCTTGTTTAGTCTACCATTACAGGTAAATAAGAATGTATTTCCTTAATTTCAAAATTAAGGATTGTCTCCCTGATCCTTCGAAGTCTTTGGCTCCAGTCTTTGGCACTTTTTTCAGCTCTTCAAAGTCTTTTCTTATTTAAATATTTTGGATTTCAAACGTTCCAGCTTGAGCATCACTGAAGAGACATAATTTGTCGAAATGCGCATCTGGAAAGATATTAGGGTCTATTAGATGATACTACCAAATTGACATAAATAATTTAACTAAAATAAATATTGGCTAATCCGAATTTCCTCTATTTGTCTTAGATTTTTAAGCTTTTGAAAGTTAAAAAATATTGTAGTTTGTTTGAAAAATCATATTTATTTGATATATTTTAAAACGTCAGTCCATTATTATTAATTTTACTTAAATTTGAAATTTTCTTTAAGTCTTTGATTGTTTAAAAATTTTAAATAAATTCATTGCTCTATAGTAATTTTGAGAAGCAGAAAAGGAGATATTTTCATACGCCGCCGTTCCGCCAAAAATATAGTCCCTGCTAGATTTCCAACTCAGTTTACCATTTCTATTTAAAGTTGTTCAATTATGATGAGGAAAGAAAAATATGATCTTTTAAATCCCTTACATCTAAATATATAAGACATATAAGCATATATACTTTGAATATTTCATCTAGTCAGAAACCAGACAAGAATCCCTCCTTAAGAACCTCTTGGAAAGAAAAGATCTAATTTATTATAGTTGTAAAAATCGTGGCCTAGAGGATAAGGTCAGACAAAAAAAGGTGTCAAAACTTTGGAAGGGTATGCATAGGAAAGAAAATCTTTTAAAAAAAATTGGTGTGTTTTGAAATCAACCCCCCCCCCCCCCCCGGGAGTATGGTGAAGCCCTGACAAGGAAAAAAGTTTTTTTTTTCCTTTGAAATAAAAAATAATAATATATAATATACTCTACAAGAACAAGTCTATGATAAGTCATTTTAATGTGCAAGCATCCTCAGGTAGTACAGATTCAAATGTTGAAATTGAGGCCCCGGTGAAAGGATGAGGCCAAAATGGGGGACCAATGTTTTAAAATGAAAATATAGGGGAAAAAATCATATCGTGTCATCTAGAACCACTTATTCTAATAAACCATATTTATATCCAAGCAACCTCATGTATATCTAGTAAAACTCAAAGTTTGTTTAAATAATGACCCGAAGGGGTACTGTTAGTCCACAAGGAGGATCAAAATTTTACATGGGAATACATGGGAGAAAACTTCAAAATCTTCTATCAAGAACCACTCCGTCAGGATAAGTCATATTAAAATACGCATGTTTCCTCATGTAGTATAAATTCAAATAATTTCAAATCGGGGAAAATTTTGGACCACAGTAAGAGATATTTTTACTTAGAAATACAATGGACACTATCTTCTCAAAAATAACAATTACAAATACAAGGCATAGAGAAATTATGATTCTACCTTAGATAATTTGAAAACTGATATTATTCATGGGCATAGGAACAAATTTGCCGATATATAGTAAACTATATAAAACATAGCTTCCTTATCGCTGTATCCTTTTTTTTTTCTTTTTTGTTTGTCAATGAATTTTTCATCAAAGTGTTTCCCAACTTGAAAATATAATATTTGTTTGTAACCCCCCTCCAAACTGTAAATGCCTCTTACATGTTTGAAATGCCCTTTTTGAATTATCAATCAGTGCGATAAGTGCCCTTTTCAGCATTGGCTCCCTGTCTTTCAAATTCTAGCTAGAACACTGTTTATACTGACTGATTTACTGACAGATGTAAAACAAATATGCCCCTTTGACCAAAAAAGAACATAAATCTCTATTTTATCATGATTTAATAAAAACTTAACAAATGTTTTCAGGTAATATCACTTCTAAACAATGGTTTTGGATCTTGCGCCTACAAAATACATAAGCTGCTGAAAAATACAGACTCTGAAAGAAAATCTATCAAATTTTATAAGAAAGCTAAAAATTTGATTGCCAAAATGTAAACTATACAAATATATCTTGTAAATTATGCTTTTGGATAAAAGATTCATATATCACATACAAGATTAACTATCACAGTTGAATGGAGTAATGATTATTGTTGTTCATCAATGGTAACAATGTAGAAGAAGCAATAATGGGGAATCTCGTTGTACTGAGTCCAAAGTCTTATTCATTTAAATATTCATATAAATTTGCATATTATATTCATAAAAAAAAATAAATAATGCGTTTGTATAAATAAATAACGAATATCAAACTAAGTGGTTAGTAAATACTCCATCAAAAAAGTAAAGGCAAAAGTCTTGGTATTTTTTTCTGCCTATATCACTAAACGTTTTCCTTCTTTTTCATCATGGACATCACCTCCTCTAATTTACTTTTAACTGCGTTGAGCTGCTGCTCGGTCTCCTCCATTTTATTGTTGATACTCATCAGATCTTCCCGAAGTTGGTCCTTCTGTTGGCCTTCTTCAGTACCAGCAAGTCGGCCATATTTAGCTTCATACTGTGCCTGAGGAAGTACAACGTAATATTTCCTAACCTCGTATTTTTCATCTTCACCTGGTATTTTACGGTGTTGTATTTTGGAGAACATCCTTGGAAGCCACGGTAGGAGCCTCTCAATGCTTACTCCAATTTGCACAGAATCCACCCGCCAATGGTATTTCTGAACGGCAAGCGTTTGAGAGTAGGAGTCGTTCATCATTGCAATGAGCATGTTCAGTAGCACAATGGTAGCCAACACTAAATAGACAACATACACAACCTTGATAAACCCGGTCGTCCGACCGACGTCAGTCATGCCTGTTTCAAAATTATCATCAAATATTTCACCCATCCCAACCATGATGTTGAAAACAAGAAAGACAGTATCGGCAAACGTTGGGTATGTGTTTGCAATTGAGGCAGATATCTGAAAAAGTGCATGGAGAGCAAAGGCAAAAGCCAGAAGAACACAAGCATAGACTATAAGGAATCGACGCACATCGCTAACAATCATGTTCAATATCATTCTCCAGAAGTAGTTGATGGCTTTAAAACCTCGAGTGAACGTGATTGTATACACCCAACCTAACCCGAGGCAAAGGGCCAATACGTAGTCTTGATAACGCTCTTGGGTTGTAATTAGCACCAACCAGGCTATGACCAGACCAGAGTAGACTATATAAAACAGGAAAGGAAGAAGTCGTGACAAAGGGCTAGAAAAATCCCTCCGCCTGATTGTAGAAATGACCGTCAAAAGAAAATACAACAGAAATATGAGTGGCTCCATTGGAACAACAATGTACGTAAGGATATATACCGAGTTATCCGTAGTCATGTTGATCGGGTTTTCGCGAAATTCTTTGGATATTTCTAAGCCTGTATAGCTAAAGAGACTCATATATACAATGTGCAATATGACTAACACGGTGAAAGTGACAGCATTTAGTACATTGTACAATTTCTCCACCTCTCTCATCGGAGGAATGTCCAGAATTCGAGCTGCTCTTTCTTTGTTTGCTCCTTTCATGAGAATTTCCAATCCTGTTATATGTATGTCAGACTGGATTTTGCGAGAAGGATTGCTAGAAAAATATTTCTGGGTTAAATCCTCAGCGGTCATAGGTGTGATATTTGTAACATCAAATAAAATATTATCACCTTCGTGAAAAAGAGTGATGTTTTCTATCATTAAGTATCGAGAAAGTATTTCGTGGACCCCAAGTTTGTATGCTAAAGTTAAAGGCGTGTAATTCGAATTGTTCTTCACTGATGTCATCAGATACACAAGGGCTTGGCGTTTTAATCTCGTTGCCATATTTTTCCCTAAATCGAAGAACTTCAAATTCTTCTTTGAGCACCACCATCGTGAACCTTCATCAACAATGACTTCAAAAGATTTCAAGTAGCGATTTGTGTTACTTGGGTCATTAGCTATTGCGGTTATCAACTTGTGAAGAACTGTGTTTCCCTCTTGATCTTGTGCCTCAAGATCGGCTTTTAGATAAACCAAACGACGAATAGTGTTATGGTAGCCCTCTAATACGGCTAAATGCAGAACTGTCTCTTTCTTTTTGTTAGGCTCATTCACATTTCCATCACGATCCATGACTTCGAAAATGTCCAGCATAGTTTCTAGACCCTCAGAATCCTCTCCTTTCCTTACTGCCTCGTGTAAAGGTGTGTTTCCATCTTCGTCAAGATCCTTAAATCTTAGGTAACGAAATTCCCATAGTACATCTGGATTAGCAAATTTGGCGGCGATATGTAGAGCGTTATTTCCAAAATTATCCTTTGCATTTAAACTTTCCCAGTCGTGTGTTTTTATTGTGTGGTCTACCAGCATTTTAGCAACCTCTGGTGTAGTATGTTTGGACATTGCAGCTATATGCAGTATATTTTCTCCGCGGTGGTTTTTGATATTTGTGCTTGCGTTTGCTTCTAGTAGAGCTTGGGTACATTGCACAAACCCTGCATTCACAGAAATGTGGAGACATGTTTCATTTCTCTCATTCTGTGCATCCACAGAAACATACTTTTGAAAACACCGAATCACCTCACTTTGATTAAATGACGCTGCATAATGAAGAAAAGTATTTCCGCTATTATCACGATCGTTTGGATCATGGCCAGCTTGGAACAAGTATTTTATCTTCTCGACGTGGCCATGAGCTGCTGCTGTGAAAAAATGTGGTCGCCCTGAGGGGTCCTTTGAAACCTGGAACTCTCTCTCTGTTGGGGCAGTGCCATATTCCAGAAGTGTCTTTAACAAAGATAAGTCGTTGCTATTAATTGCGTAGTGCCAAGTATCGTGACCCATGTTATTTCGGCGGGTTGGATCGTCTCCAAGATTTAGAAGAATTCGCACTATGTTCACGTGACCGTATCTTGCAGCCAGTAAAATTGCACAGTCCCCTTTTTCATCTTGTCGGCGAAAATCTGCTTTGTAGCTCAACAACTGTCGAACAACTTTGATGTGTCCTTCTTTGCACGCATGGTGTAGTGGTGTCTGACCTCCGGTGATCACATGGTCTTTATTTGCACCGTGTTTTAAAAGCAGTTTGACTATTTCATGGTTACCATAAGCTGAGGCTAGAACTATTGGAGCAACAAGTCCTAGTTTTCTTTCCTTGTGGATATCTACTTTCTTGTGTGAATTGTTTAAAAGCAGTTGAACTATTTCTGTGTGCTCGTAGCGAATGGCCCAGTAGAATGCTGTCGATCCTTTATCATTCCCCTTGTTTGGATCTGCGCCTTTTTCCAACAGAAAAGATACAGTGTCTTTATGTCCGCATTTAGTTGCCCACAATAACGCTGTGTCTTGTTTCTTATTCGGAAAATCAACTGTAATTCCATATGGTTCACCCTGTTCCAAGTAAAATTTTACGAGTTCAGTATGGCCGTAATAGGCTGCTAGATGGAGACAGGGAAATTCTCGCGGACGTTGGTCGGTCATCTCTATTTTAGTATTTGCTGTCATGGCCTTCTTGACGTCTTTCAAACGAGAGATAATTTTTTTGGCAAGGTCAATCTGATTTGCCTCGGTCACTTGCAGTAAAGCTGTCTTTGTTGTAGAACTAACTGAAAAGGCGTTTTGCAGCAAAGTTTCGTCGCCTTTGTCGATAAGAAGACTGGCTTTATCGAATTGGTGATTTGAAAGAGCATAGTTTAAAACATTCTCATTATTTTTTGGATTAGTCATAACAGCATCGGAAAATGGTATTTTTATATTGATGTCCTCAATACAACGCGTGAGTGTTTCCTCGTCGCCTTCGATGACGGTTTTAAACATTTTTATTCGGAGATCCTCGAATTTCTTTTGTCTGTTTGAGGATATTGGCCGAGGTCCGTTTGAGTCATTTGATTTTCTGTTCTTTCGCACCTCAGGCTTTATAAGCTGAGGTTGGATTTCCGTATTTTCGTTCTCTTCTTCCAGTTGCCTCTCCTTTTTTCGCCTCTAAGAAAGACAAAATCTGGACTTTAATTTAATTACATTATGTTGATATCATCATTTTGTTTTCAAAGATTTTCAAAAAAATGTCTTTAATTTGGTTATTTTCAAAATAACTTATTCATTTGGTAGACTATTCAGTCCTCAGGGTGAAAACAAACATATCGACTTAGTACTACCTCTCGGACTTTTTTCAGCTGTTTAAAGTCTCCGTCCTCTGTAGATCCGCCCCCAGAATTTTCGTTTGCTATGGTGACTTCAGCATTGTGCTCAGCTTGCTGGAGGCGTCTTGGTCGCCTCAGTAGATAGGCTGGAATTTCAGCCATTCTGAAATAGACACCAAAATAATATTTATTTACTCTTTATATGTATTCTCAATTATAGTGCTAATCGGTCAGTGGAAAAGTAAAAAAAAAAAAGGTGAAATGAAACTAACATTGTTCAATGTCATTTGAAACATGAAAGTCTATAGTTATTAAAAATTATAATTTGAATTGTATACTTCATGTTGTGTTTTGTTTATCTCCATAGAAATGTATGCAGTTAGAAAGCTAATTTTAAACTTTACACTAAGATATTTAAGTGATGTTGATAAACCATAATTGGAAACGAATGAAATTTAAAAATATTACATAATTAAGATAACACACATCAAATATTGTTAAAGTTACTATAAACATTTACGAAACATTTTAAGCACATTTGTAAAACGAATGTGGAATCTTTAATTCGATTAATAATAAAAACAAAACAAACATCATTTTCACTTAAAAGAAATTATTTTTTAACAAGATTTTCAAATTTGATAAGCTAAATAAAAGCAATTTTCCTCAAAATGCTTCATTATTTGACTCCGTATTAATCAAGTCAAAGAAACGCATATTACTAGTATCTAAAAGATAAGAATGTAAAACATAAATAATAACAAAGATAAAATGTATCTTCGCAACAAAAAATGAAAATATTATTTCAAATAATAGAATTTTATGGATTTTCTTTTTTGTGTTCTTAACAGAGGATTGAATTGAAAAGTCAAGCTATGATTTATCTAAGAGAGGTAACATTTAATTTATGAACTCCCCCCCCCCCCCCCGACCATTTAATCTGTTGATTGTTTTAAATGCTTTTAAAACAGCTTGTGAAAGTTTTATCGAAAAAATAACAAAGTGAAATAAAACAAATTACATGTAAAACAAACAAACCACAAAACGAAATAAAACAAATTAAAGTAAACCAACCAAAAAACATCTACTTTGGAAATATTTACAATTGCATGTTACAAGTATTTTTATTAAGCAATACACATTCTACATATGATGTAAATTAAACAGTTAGTACTATAAAAGCGTAGACTCATTCATTGTATGCCTAAGAAACAATCTTAATAGGAAAAATTATGTTGATAATTTGATATTTCTTGCAAGCAATAAACAAGAGGCCCATGGGCCACATCGCTCACCTGAGTAACTTTGGCCATGCTGTTCTTTACCAGATTTCCCCCCTTTTAATATACCTATTGTGGCCCCGCCCTACCCCCGTGGGTCATGATTTGAACAATTTAGAATCTACTCTACCTCAGGATGCTTCCAAATAAGTTTCAGCTTTATTGGTCCAGTGGTTCTTGAGAAGAAGATTTTTAAAGATTTTTCTTATATATTTCAAAGTAAAACTTGGATTCTCTATTGTGTCCCACCCTACCCCCGGGGGTCATGATTTGAACAATGGATGCTTCCACTTAAGTTTCAGCTTTTCTGGCCCAGTGGTTCTTGAGAAGAAGATTTTAAAAGATTTTTCCTATATATTTCAATGTAAAACTTGGATTCCCTATTGTGGCTCCGCCCTACCCCCGGGGGTCATGATTTTAACAATTTAGAATCTACACTACCCCAGGATGCTTCCATATAAGTTTCAGTTTTTCTGGCCCAGTGGTTCTTGAGAAGAAGATTTTTAAAGATTTTTCTTATATATTTCAATGTAAAACTTGGATTCCCTATTGTGGCCCCGCCCTACCCCCGGGGGTCATGATTTGAACAATATAGAATCTACACTACCCCAGGATGCTTCCACATAAGTTTCAGCTTTTCTGGCCCAATGGTTCTTAAGAAGAAGATTTGTAAAAAATTTTCTTATATATTTCAATGTAAAACTTGGATTCCCTATTGTGGCCCCGCCCTACCCCGGGGGTCACGATTTGAACAATTTAGAATCTACACTACTTAGTGTTAAATCTAGACCCTAAAAAGGGCATGGTAATCCAAAAATCAAAAGGGCACTTTATTCTGCGACAAGTTTTCATGGGGGCACTCTTTAACGAGCCTTTGCAATTATAAACTTTTACTTTATGTACTTTAATTATTATTATTATACTAAAATCTTTATTTACATTGTATACAAGTAATTAAAAGGTAATAAAATTTATAAATCTGTTTTCAATTATTCAATTTTAAAAAAGAAAAAACAACATAATACAATTCACACACTGACATGACAATTAAAAAATATGCATTTAATTTTTTACACAAGGAATTAGATATTAGGTTATTTTAAAAACTATTATAGGTGTGAATCTAGCTATTGCATGCACCAAGAATTATCAGTTGGAGGCATCCCAGGATTTTTTCCTGTTTGGAATAGTGTTATTGGAGTATGACATGCAAAAAACAAAAAAAATTTCGGGGGGGGGGGGGTTACTTAGAAAATAATTGTTATTGGCAATTTCTTTATTTGGAAAATAATCTATCAATATTATCATGTGAAAATTTTGATCTAAACAAAAAAAAAATTTAAAACTTTAATGAAGCAAATCTTGAAAATCTTGTTAAATGCTTTTAATTGACCCTCAGGGTGTCAACTCTAAAAGAACAAAACATCATTCAAAGAAATTCACTTCATACTTTGTTGTTTCCAAGCCCATTTCTCATATAATATTCAGTTTTGGTGCAATACAAGTTGAGTTTATTCAGATTAAATGAGCAGACTGTTTTACACTTTTCACCATCAACTATGGTTTTTTCCTACTTTCAGTTTTAAAAAAAAAACGATTCTGTCTTAATTAATTTAATTCACAAGTTCATATATCTTAGACATTGGGCTAATTCTTGCATATTCAATGCAATCAAATGATATTTTTCTCATGTTATCTCCTATACCCTAACAGCCTGAGGCATGTTACCTGACCAGGTGGCTGTGTGCGTTCAAGCGAGAAGTAATTTCCTGCCGTGAATTCACACCTTTGAGTATACATTAAATAAACAAAAGGGCTAATCAGCATGCACTGAATAAACAGAGCAGCTAGTCAATCTCCACTGTTGGGCATATTATTTATTTTTGGCAAGCAGAAAAAGGGCATGGCGCTGGAAAAAAAGGGCATGGCGCCGCGCCATGCTAGTTTGCTATAGATTTAACACTACAGTACTCCAGGATGCTTCCATATAAGTTTCAGCTTTTCTGGTCCAGTGGTTCTTTAGAAGAAGATTTGTAAAGATTTTTGTTATATATTTCAATGTAAAACTTGGATTCCCTATTGTGGCCCTGCCCTACCCCCGGGGGTTATGATTTGAACAATTTAGAATCTACACTACCCCAGGATGCTTCCATATAAGTTTCAGCTTTTCTGGCCCAGTGGTTCTTGAGAAGGTTTTTTAAGATTTTTCTTGCATATTTCAATGTAAAACTTGGATTCCCTATCGTGGCCCCGCCCTACCCCCGGGGGTCATGATTTTAACAATTTAGAATCTACACTACCCCAGGATGCTTCCATATAAGTTTCAGCTTTTCTGGTCCAGTGGTTCTTGAGAAGATTTTTAAAGATTTTTCTTGCATATTTCAATGTAAAACTTGGATTCCCTATTGTGGCCCCGCCCTACCCCCGGGGGTCATGATTTGAACAATATAGAATCTACACTACCATAGGATGCTTCCATAAAAGTTTCAGCTTTTCTGGCCCAGTGGTTCTTGAGAAGAAGATTTTTAAAGATTTTTCTTATATATTTCAATGTAAAATTTGGATTCCCTATTGTGGCTCCGCCCTACCCTCGGGGGTCATGATTTTGACAATTTAGAATCTACACTATCCCAGGATGCTTCCACATAAGTTTCAGCTTTTCTGGCCCAGTGGTTCTTGAGAAGAAGATTTTTTAATGACCCCACCCTATTTTTGTCTTTTCTTGATTATCTCACCTTGTAAGGAGACTTGGCCGTTTATTTTAACAATTTACACTCCACTTCACCCAAGGATACTTTGTACCAAGTTTGGTTAAAATTGGCCCAGTGGTTCTTGAGAAGAAGTTGAAAATGTGAAAAGTTTACAGACGGACGGACAGATGGACGGACGACGGACAACGGGTGATCAGAAAAGCTCACTTGAGCTTTCAGCTCAGGTGAGCTAAAAAAGGTAATGGATTCAATTTTGACCTGTTTCTTGGCATCCAACATCCACAACCGTAGGTTGTTTTTTTTAACCGACGTGGTAATCTCCCCACCCCCACCCCCTCCCTCTCTCTCTCTCTCTCTAAATACAGTGCCAGTTCACCGGGACTACATTTCCTACCAATAATGATATGGAGTTATAACGGAATACTGAGCTGTCTGGAGCTTGTCTCTTTCCGCATGTGTTACTCAACGCTTAATCAAGATTTTTTTTTTAATGCTTAATAACATTAATACTGATTATGATATCGTAAAGAAGTCTGAAGTCAACCCTATTCAAGAATGAGCATTTTTTTTAATAATCGAATCTGGATTATCAAAAAAGTCATTTTATTGATATATCATTAACCTTTCAAGGCGTTGAATAAGATAATCATGTTATTTCGTATATTCTTTCTAAAAGATATGCAATTTCATTTACAAACACTTTTTAAATTCAAATTTAAATTTTTAAATTCAAATGAAATCGTCTTCTTTTATGCATGTAAAACTTACTGGGCATAATGAAATTTAAAATTATAAATTTTTATTAAGGTGTACAATGTTTTGATTAAAATTTAAGTGTATAACCATTTTTAGTTGAAGATAGACTATCAGATCAAACAAGCAACAGAAGTAAACAAAATTGCTCAAAATAGAAAAATTAAGTTTTTAAACCGCAATTCTACTTGTGAATAATATTATGTCAATTCAATTTTCAAAGCATACAGAAGCAAAAAAATATTAAGTAAATTTTCTTCACCTTAGCACTTCCATTTGCATCTCTGCACTTTTGTTCCAGAAAAAAAAAACAAATGCTAGTGTAAGAAAAAATATATTTCTCTGTTTTTAAACAATAAAGTTTCACCCGAAAATCTGTTCAAACAGCTTTAGAATTTATTCTTAATGTACTTTTAACATGGTAATGTAAACACCGGTTTACAAAAACAAAAATATATGTATCGGTAACGTTAATATTTTTATGAGCTTTACCGTATTTTTTAATGTTGTTGTTTTATAATTTCACTGTTGATTAAAGGTATATTCTACAGTTTGAGTGTATGTCAATTTGATCCATAGGAAAGTGTTATTCTCTTACTTAATTGTGAATGAATACTAGCACACAAGTATCAATGAAATCTATTAACACTAGATTTATAATGATTCATATGACTGGCAGAAAATAAAAATTCTTTGAAATGTTTTATTCCTTAAGACACTGTACATTTTTTTAAAGCGTATCGAGACTAAACTTTTAAAATCAGAGTTGAAAGTCAAGTAGATTTCAATTCAAATGAAAAGTGTAATTTTACATTTTACAATATAATAATCGCATAAGTTCCTCTCTACAAATATTGCGCACATCTTCAGAATCTAATATGACAGATTTAAATGTATGTAAATATACTCGAGATTCAAATGCTCACATTACCGGACACAAACTTTCATAGAGACGATTGAAAGTACAATGAAGACTTTTTTTTAGAGTATTTCATTTTACTTTGAGGTGCTTCTCGTGTTTGGAATTTATTAATACGAGACCAGATTGACGAGATATTTTGTTATTACTTTCGTTTCTCCTTTTTTTTATGTGAATTCGTTAAGATACGGTTGTCTTTCTTCCAAACAAAAGTGCGGAACAAAATTACAGAAAATCCGACAAAAAATTCTCTATGTATCAAAAAAAAAATCTAGTTCTTCTTATAAGTTCTTTGTTGTCATCTGTTCCTACTTGCGATAAAATTTACATGTACAAATGAACCTTACATTTGTAGTTAATTAGACGAAGATGTGTATTATTATGAATAAAATTAAGGTGCTTAGTAGATCGTAAAGTGCCTAAGTCTAGGCTTCTTAAAACGCGCGCGGAAGATTTTTTTTCTATGACAAAGTTTCTAAGTATTTGTAAGTGGCATAGGAAAAATCCCTCAATATAAGCTTGTGCATTTGGAATATACACAAGGTTGAAGTATACATTATAAATACAGAATAAAATTCACTCAAAAAGGAAAAAAAACAAAGGTGAAATCATACTTGTTTAAGAATTACGTAATCTTTCATTTAAAAAAAACAACTGAAAAGTTTAAATCTATTATGTAGTACACATACGAGTATGTCATTTTTTATTCTATTTGACTAAATATAAACATTGACAACATCATATCTGCCTGGCAAACTTGTTACTTGGATAAGGTGTGTCCACTGCTAACAGGGTATATATGCAAAAAGAAAAAAATAATACCTGGTGGCACTCGTTATCTCTTCCTGTTTCTCTAAAGTTTCTTCATCTTCTTCTTGGACACGAATTTCTATCCCTGAAATGGATGGCGCTGAATCAGAAATCTTCATTTCGTACATTTTTCTAAAGAGGAATCTGTTTTTCGTCTACTTCATATATATATATATATATATATATATATACGGAGCCTAAGGCGATGTTGAATTATTCCAAGTTAAGAGGTCAAATATTACATGCTCTGTTTCACTCGAGAACCACAAATTAAATAGAACGCTCTATCCTTAAACGTATAAAGCAGAGGCTATGCGCAGATGTTATAAGTACTCTGCATATATTTAATCTGTTAATTAATATTTATTACTGTGCTCAGTACGAGCACCAATGAATCCGGGAATGGATCCTGATGTCGAGGTGTTGAACTTCCTATTTAATTAATTGTTTTCTTCCATAATTAAACATCGCTGTAATTACAGTAACTCCATTTAATTTCTGTAATTCTTTACATTACTTTAAGTAGATAACTACATGTACTAGTATTTGTTACTGATTTATAAATTGATGATTTTTAAATAAAGTATCTACATACCTGTTTCCAAATTATAATAAACGATTGTCATTTACATGTTTCTGTATTTTTTTAATTAAATCTTGTAGAATGAAAAAAGAATATTTGAACTTAATATCAAAGTATAAGAATTCAGGAAATTTTAGAGGGTTTTTTCCGTTCAATTTACGTTTTAAGACTTAATTACTATTAACATGATCTTAATTATCATTAACTTGATCATTCGATGCAAAAAAAGGGGAGTAGGATTCTAATTGCTTCAAATCAACACTAAGCTCTCGGATTTCAAAATACACATGTTATCATATATTACAAATATTTATTGGAACAAAAAAATGTTTTTTAAAAAGTAAATCGGAAAAATGAAGAAGAGAAACTTGGCCAACTATAAAATAGAGCTGTATTTTATAATATCGCGGGTATGATTTATAAGCAAAACGTTAATTCTACATTATTTTTTTGATTTTCCTTATGGAATACATTGTAAATGCGTACTAGAAGAATAATTTATGAAAAAAAAAGACATACAATTTTTTTTTACCCGGGGGGGGGGGGGACTGTCCATAAATATCTGAGATGAATGCCTGTAAAATTTGTCCCCAGAAATTTGTGAGGTAAAATATTGTTTAGCTCAATAAAGGAAAAATTACAATTGCAATTAAAAGGTACCTTACTTTTGCTGTCTATGGCATGTAAAACATTGCATTATTATACTTTTTGTTATTCCTATTCAAAAATTTGTTATTCTTATTTTAACACATATCATTTCTATTGGATAAAAATGTTATTCCTATTCAATACATTGTTATTCTTATGCGAAAAAAATGTTATTCCTATTCGATAATTTATCATTCCTTTTCGATAAGTTGTAATTCCTAATACAAAACATGATTCCTATTCGATAATTCGTTATTCCTATTCGAAAACATGTGGTTCCTATATATTCATTAATTTTGTCATTCTTATTCGATAATTAAAGGATTTATATTCGATAAACATGTTATTCCTACTGAAAAACATGTCATTCCTATTCGAAACTCACAATTCCTATATTCGATATATAGAAATCGTATGTTTTCGAATAGGAATGATATGTTTTAAAATAAGAAAATAAATTCTTTGAATAAGAATAACAAAACAGTAAAATAATGCAACGTTTTAAACGCATAGCTGTCTGTAAAAAGCATGAATTTTACATCCAAAATGGTACAAGTTTCTTGTGTTGTATTTCCTGATCTATATACTTGAAAGCCATTAGTGTAGACTATTCCGTAATGCAGAAGAATCCTTATAACATGAATGTCATGTTGCACATTTTGAATTTACAAAATTTTTACTCCATATTTCAATATGATTTGTCTATTATTTACCCAACATTATCGGGTGCACTTCCTAACAACTAGAGAAATAAAGAAGGATGTTCTTCGTTAATTATTAAATTTATTGATTCTTTGGAGATGCTGTTCCACGATTTAAAGAAAAAAGGGGGGGGTCAAAAGCATATTAGTATTTTAAAATTAATCAAATATATGTGGAAAAATGTATCTCTGATTAGTAAAATACACAAACCATGATGTTAGACTATATGAAATCAAGACACAGCATTAGGTATTACGAAATGTAATCTTTTGCACATTGCAATGCCGCCACCCCCTACCTTTTCTTTCATTTGGCCTTTCTCCCTTTTACAATATAAATTGACATAAATTGACATCACGTTGCAATTATTCACTTTTTACAAATGAAATTAATTCGTTCGAGAATTCAAAACAAGAAACATAAGTCGCTTATAAAATGTAGGTCAATTATTTAGACTTGGAAGTTTGACAAAAAATACATTGTATATTCATGCCTCAATATTCTACAATTCCTACATACGATAATTTCTTACCTCAATACATACGTCATTTCTCTCAAAAAACCAAACTTATTCCGTCATACAAATATATATTTGACGTCTTCGGAAAAACCTTAACGTAGGAATTTCGAACTTAAAAATCTATAGATCTTTCGATCTCCTGTTATTGAGTACCCAGGGTTTAAATGCCGGGTAGCTGTTTGGAGTTTTTCAATGGACATGAATATACAGGTTTATATGACTTAAAGCTGTGTAATTAGCTCGATAGGTAACCCGTGCCAACTAAACACACACACACACATAACGAACGGAATGGGCGCAAATAAAATCTCACAGAGCATAGATCAAGCTTTAATAGAATTAATTGATTATTGAAACAGCTGTTTTATACTAAACGGGGGGGGGGGGGGTGTTAATTATGATATACTCAAATATTTTTTTTTTAAAAATCACAATATCAAAAGGCTAATGGATGAATACAAGTATTTAAATATCTTATGAAAATTTATATTTATACTCCCCACCCGCATCCCCGGAAAAAAAATCACCATACCAGTGTCGAAATAGCTACATGTAAGATCCTGTCGAAAAAGCTACATGTAACGCCATTTGACGCTTGTCATTTTTCTATTTGCTTGCCTCATTTTCAACCCCCTAAACCTCCCACCCCACCCCACCCCACCCCAATAAACAAAATGTACATAAAAACGAGGAGATAAAAAATAAACTTGATTAGTAATTTCAAACTATAATTTCAAATAAATCAAGACATGATTCATTTAATGATCCAATAATATTTTTTTTCAAATTTCCAAATTTCTTTTGCAATCATATGTAATCTACACTGAGTTAGTTTACCAGGTACTATTTATCCCCACACCTCAGCAACTATAACGACCGATATCTATACATGTTTTATGAAGCGGGAATGTTTTATAAAGCTGGAGTACGTCTCTATGTACAATGTGCTTCCAACTCAATCAATGTTTCCTCAGATGAGTGGATCTAAGTTGTATATCGACAGACTTCTTATCGGTGCTCTTGATTTTCCCTCCTTGAAATTTATGCAATATTTTTATTAATAAGTTGAATGTTGTTTGATGCTAGTCGCGGTCTACACGTATGGAACAGTTCACATCCAGCAACGCCTGTTTTAAACGGAAGCTTTTTTTTTAATTTTTTTTTTCATCAAAAGAATGATAACAAACTCAAGAGACCCAGTGGAACCAAGTGGTAATAAACGATGAAAAATCCAAGCTGAATGAAATCAAAGTATATATGGATTGCAAATGAATACAGATTAGCCAATCGGTTCACCGCATCCCGTTCCAACCGATTAATCGGATAATCGTTTCAAAAATACATACTTTCTTGACATATTTCATAGGAGGTTTTATTTTCTCAAGTAAGCTCTACTCATATCAGGCGAGTAAGAACCGGGCAGGGGAGGGGTGTTAACCTTTAGGTACCCCCCCCCCATAATTTCGTAATATATAATTTTTTTTCAAATATAGAAAAAAAAACTTTTGTAACCTCTCAATGATTTTAACATATACTATAGAAAACAAAAATATCTCTTATGACATTTTTTGCCTGCTTGTCAAGAATTTATGTTCGACCCCCCCCCCCCCCTTCCCCAAAAAACTGAAATTGCTTCCTACAGGTCTGCATACATATTAGTAATTGGTCTAATTAAATGTGAAGAACGCTTGAATTGATAACAGGTTTCAAGTGAAACACTGTAGGTTTCAAATTAATTTATTCAAGATCTAAGATCAGATCACTCTTCCTGCATAAGAATACCTCGGAACTCTTTAGTGTGCAGGCTATATTGGGTCCTAAATCAGAACACTTTCTATTTCAATTTCAATAAGCAAGGAAAAATAAAAAAAAACTGTGAGACATGCGTGAGATATTAGAGACATAAATAATTTCTCAGACCAGATGTCAAACGTTCATTTTGCTTTGTCATCATCATCATCAGAACTATCGATTTATTTGCAATTTTCATTTTAAAATATAATTTGATCGACCACTGCACGCCACACAGTATAGACGGGATAAGATACGGGTTTTGAAAGTAGTTACATGATAGCATTTACAATATTCAACAGTGATTTCATAAATATTATTCATGAGTGATTCAAGAAATAAAATACTGGATAGGCTGGACAATGGCGCCATCAATCACTTCTACACTAGACAAAGTTGTTTCCACTCCACCCAAGAAAATTATTATTTTACTTTTTCAGAACTTATGGTGTATTTGATTTATAAAATTGTTACCACAGTAAAAAATGAAGCATTTAAATATCTTCATTCATAAATAACTACAATCTTAATTGAAGCGTAACCATTCCATAGAAAAAATGAAATTCGTGCTCACACTTTTGGTGGAATAAATTTCTATTTCTTCTTTGTGTTTGTGTTCTTTATGTTTGTACTAATTAAAAACTTAGCAAACAACAATTTGAAGATTGTTCCACAAAATTGGGGCAACCGGAATTTTGGATGGACTGAATGCGCGAATCTAGAGGAGGAGGGGGCGGTCGGGGGAGTCCGGACCCCCCCCCCCCCCCGGAATTTGCAGAGGTATTAAAAGGATATAATGAAGCAAATAAAAAATGAATTTGGACCCCCTCTAGAAAACGTGGACTCAACCATTACCACCACGAAATAAGTGTTTTTCACCTTTGGGAAATGGATTTTACGTTGTTTGTTTTTTCTTTTCTTTTTTTTTTCATTTGCTTGTCAAGAAATTTGTGGGTTGGAAATTTTTTTGACTGGGGTGGACCCCCCCCCCCCCCCCCGGAAAAATTCCTGGATCCGCGGCTGGACTGGGTATGGACACCAAGGCACGGGATGACTACTAGGCGATATGATAGTCAATTGCTGTAAATTGTTTGATTTTTAACTGGGAGACTGCTTCTGTTAGAACCTCACTGACCACCATCGGTAATCACCAACTTCATATCTGGGCAAAAACGGTTCGCAGTGCACGTTGGGCAATTTGTTTTAGGCAAGAAGGTCATTTAAAGGTCTTGTCATGACACCAAGACATTTCTATTCCACTGTATTAGGAAAGATGGCATATTTGATATACTAGTGCCGATTAGGCCAATGTTTAATTAAAGGAGAATAACAAGTGGCGCGTTAGCAATTTTGTCTAGTGTATATATAAACAATAGTTAACGCTTCACGAACTGACCAATTACCAAATTATTTCAACCTTCAATGCCTTAAAAATCTCCAACTGAACTTAATCAGATACATATGCATACACCAGCTTATCTATGTTTGAATTTTTTATTTAAAATAAAATGAGGGGAAAAATCTTTTAATGAAAGAACAAGGGCCACTTAAGGCCTTTTTTGGCCCTATAAATTTCTGAAAAATGATAACTTCATAGTTTTAGTCGACAAGGCAATAAATATCACTAGAACATTTGGTGACTGAATTTCTACTGACGTAATTTTCTTGCTTGTTAACGCATTATGGCGTCATGAATTGCATCATTATTCACATATCCTGAATATTTCTTCAAAAATGGTCAACATATGATGCTATTTTTCAATATTTTGTATACAGCACAACCTCCGATCCAAAATGTACAAATATATTATGAAAGAACTGCTTAATAAGATAAAACATATTTAAATTTTTGGATCGAGGGGTGTGCTCATATTTTAATTCTTTGTTGAAGGTTGTCAAATTCACCTGTTTTCTGTAAAAATCAAGAACATTGCAATTTCACACAACCTGTTTTCCAGTACCTGAACTTTTTAGAGGAAACTTTTATATACAAACTCAAAGCACTCAGTCTCTACTTTAAATTGATGTTGAAAAAGGGACATAATGTGTTAGTGGATTAATTGGTTTATCTACAAGGCTATTTTATGCACAAAGTGAACCTAGCTTTTTGCTCAATTATACACTTTCTATTTTAATTGATTTTCATCTAACCTATTACAGTTCTTTTTGGAAACTGTGATTTTGTGTAAAATGATTTTACACAAAATTTTATTAGGATTTTCCAATCTGAACTTCTTACAAGTATTTGTTACATTTATTTAAAAAGAATAATTTAAAGAATCAATCAAATTTTAATTTCCAGTAGTTTGCACGTCAATATATAGTATACTTTTAATACTAGGGCTGTGTCAATATATTGATTAATCAATACGTATCGAATATTCAGGAATGTATCGTATCGAAAAATAACTTCCAATACGTATCGGGCAGGCAGTTTTTCTTATAATTCTGTGAAAAAGTTGGGAATTTCAGTCACCAAAGGTTATTTTTAACTGTTTTGAATTAAAAATGATCAATAGTGAAATAAACATTAGGAGATAGCACATCTTAAATAACTATTTAAAAATACATAAACTATATTTTAACATGTTAGTTTTACAATCATTAAAAGTTTGAATTTGAAGTGTACTTCGTAAAGACAGTGAGACATGAACTTCCAATTTGGTAATAAAACACCCAGATTTGATCATATCTATGGATGAAAATTAATGATATACAAGACTTTTTGATTGACTTGTTAAAGAATCCAATATATCGCATATCGCTTTATAAAATATTGTATCGTATCGTATTGTATCGAAATATTTTACTCAATACACAGCCCTATTTAATACACATGTATAATGAAACTGCCATGTTGAGGGGTGTGTCATTTCTTCCACTTTAAACATACCAGAAGCATAACACACTGAATACTTTATGAATTATGTAGATTTGATTCAAGTAAACCTTTCACACTACATAGCTTCTCTCTTGCTACATAAGAAAGAGTTGTCTCTCTTACAACACTGTTCTCAACATTCACTGATACAGGGCCAGAGTTGTCTCTCTTCCATTAAGAATCAATGCCGTCTTTTCACTCTTTTACAGCCTTTGTCAGTCTTCGTCATCATTATCTTCATTTCGTCTATCCACAGTGGCTGCATTTACAGCGAGAGCTAAATCTTCATTACCGGCCTGTAAACGTTCTCCTGTAAAAAGATAACACAACAGATTATTGAAAGTGTTTCATGGTCATATATATATATACATGTATGTTAAGTGTGTCCCAAGGTACATGTATAAAGCTTAAGAGATTTCAATTACATGTATAACACTGATAGAATCATGTTGCTAAGGAGGTTTTCTAATAAATAGCTTTAGGGGAAAAAAATCAAATACATTGTGGTCAAATTGACATATTTTGGGTTGATGCATCTATGGAACCAGAATGCATTAATTGGTTGTATAATTTTGGTCTTATTTCAAATAAACTTGTTACACAGGTAAATATAATGTACATCAATATAGTTTAGAAAAGATGAAGAGAGCATGAATATTTAAAAGTTTAAACCAATAGAGCTACAGTATCATCAAAGACTTCTAGTCAATCTGAGATATCACACTTACTATTGTATCAAGTCATAGTTTATGAGATACAGAATTAATGATAAACTCTGTCACATGACCTGTAGCTCACATGCACAAATTCTACCTTAAAACGTGTACCGATTGTTAAACTACAGAATAATGAGTTGGATAATTGTCTTACCTTAACACACATACTGATTAGCTCTTCTATAGTTTGATGTGTTGGATAATTGTTTTTGCTCAAGATGCACTTAGTTACCGATTAGCTTGGCTATAGTTTGATGTGTTGGATTATTGTTCTAGCTCAAAAAACACCTACTGATTAGCTTGGCTATACCTCAATTGTTTGATAATTGATTTACAACACACTTTACGATTTGCCCAGCTTAAGTTTTATGTGTTGGATAACTGTTTTTAGCTCTTACTGATAAGCTCGGTTGTAGCTCGCTGTGTCTATGATTAGCCCAGACTGTTTTTTGAGTTTGATGATTGTTTTTAGCTCTTACTAATATGTTCAGCTACAGCTGTTACTGATAAGCTCGGTTGTAGCTAGCTGTGTCTTTATGATTAGCCCAGACTATTTTTTTTTGTTTTAGATGATTGTTTTTAGCTCTTACTAATATGTTCAGCTATAGCTCTCTGAGTCTTGATGATTAGCCCAGCTTAAGCTTTACATGTTAGATGATTGTTTTTAGCTCTTACTGATAAGCTCAGCTATAGCTCGCTGTGTCTTTCTCTCCAGCTTCTCCAGTTTCTTTGCTACATCTCTCTTCAGGTCCCAGTCAGGCTTTCTAGGTGCCAGGTTCACCAGGTCCTGAATATAAAAAAAAAGTAGATCACATTCAAAGGTCAAGGTTGGTGCCCAAAGAAGGCTTATCCAAAAGGAATACACATGTGAAATACGAAAGATGGCTAAGGTTATCAGACCACAGGAGACCTCAGGTCTGGGATATCTTTTTTCCGGATTTTTTTTTTTTTCTTACAATAAAAACTTCAGACTCCTGTGATCAGACAGAGGGACATGCCAAAAGCTATTTAACCCCAAATCTCCGATTACTGGGGAATGAAAATGATTTCTGAGAAAATAATTATAATTGTAATTCATTAGATTAGACCGCAGTTTTGCATATATCAGAAAAATATACAACATAATGTTAGTTACTGATTTACCTAGGGTTGCCCTTCATTTGTTTCAAACTTTCAAGTACAAACTTTGTCTACATTTCTAACTTATTGATTAGGTGACATGCTAATAAACATGACCAATGCAGCCAATAGATTTAGGTATTTTGATTAAGATAGACGTAACTATATCTTTAGCATAATGTCTGCCTTTGAAACATGTATGACATCAAAAATATTTGTTCTTAGCTTATTCATTTTTTGTGAGTTTTATTCACACAACAGTTTATTTCACTGCCATCTTTAGTGTTCATAAATACTAGTATTGAGGGCCAAGATACATGTACCATATCATATTGACTTATGAATCTTTTACATAATACTAGAATGAACCAAGATGATTTATGTACAAACTGAGGCCAACTCACAATTAAACATACTGTAGTTGTAATCTACTGCACTTTTCATATCAAATTCATCTTAAAATCATACAACATTCTAAATGATTTGAAGAACACTCGCAGTTACTTGTAGGACACTGGCAGTTACTTGTAGGACACTGGAATTGACTTTTAGGACTTTTGTGGTAACTCATAGGATACTTGCAAGGTCGCAAGTATTATGAAATTTTATGAAGGTCCACAAATGTTAAAGATTTACTAAGATTGTGAGTACAAGTGCAGTGTGTGAATTGTGTGATGGTCTACAAACTTAAAATTCATACTTTGGTCATGATTATTTAGAACATGTTCAAAACAATTGCCATGTTAAATTAATAGTTTGCTATGGTTAAACACAAGTCAGAAAGATATCGTATGACTTCCTTTAAGATGAATCCCAAATTGCTGTGATTTTTCAAATCTTTTCAAGTCTTCTAAATTGTAACAGTGTGACAAGTGTCCTATTCATAACTTTGTCAAATAATTGATCAAACATTTTTAAATAAATGATTGATCAATGATTTGTTTACATCTGTAGATATAACTGTTTCAACCTGTAGGATAAAGCTATTGTAAAATCAATTTATATGTAGTATATGTATACTTTGTACAGTGGACGTAGTAATTCTTGAGATGACACTAAATTTTTCTTACCACTTCCTCTATCCCTTTTTCAACTGTTGCAGCCTCCAGATGAAGTTTAATCTTGTCAGTCACTTAAATAAAAAGGTAATCAATTAATCACCTATGCACACATCACAGTATCATAAAAATAGCAATGTGTGCACTTGACACACACAGCTATTATAAATAAAATGACTCAGTGTTGTCAATTTATTCACTAGTTTTTTTTTATAATAGTGTGGCACTTTGATTAAATATCAAATTACAATTTACCATAGCATATAAAAAAAATATTATTAGGTATATATCTGGAATGATTTTATACTGTCATTTTTGCATGATAAAATATTTATCTCATTTTGTCATTTTATTGAATTTATTCAACCTAATGATAAATTGGAGAAAAACCAATTATCAATACTATCAGTCATTTTACTTTTAAAAACTTGGAGAAGACAAATATGCTACATAATTAAATACACAGAACATTGCAGAAAGATTAAAAAACAAGCTAATTCAGAGAATTTGTGTCCCCCACTTAAGGAAAAAAGAAGAGAATGTGCAAAAAAAAATATGGGATTGTGCGGGATTTGAACCTGGGACCTCTCACATGCTAAGCGAGAATTCTACCCCAAGACCAACAAGGCGCTTGACATTGAAGCAAATTAAATGCAAACAGCAGGTCACATATACATGTTTAAATTCACATTTGATATTGTCAAAATTTTACAATTTTCCTAAACAGTTACATGTAGAACTAATAGATGTAATTAGAATATAAAGTCCTCTGACAACCTGTATTATATGTAATAAACTCTAAAACTTTGACTGTGATCAATGTCAAAAAATTTTCAAATGACTTTTGAAAAAAAATCACCAAAATAAACAAAAAACGGAGCGGGACACTTTGAGAGGGGCGGGCTGGGCCATGGGGAGTTACGGTATAAAATTTCACTGCAAAAGCTCAGGAGCTTTTTGAGATATCGCCCAGAAATGCAAGTGTTGCACACAGACAAAATGTATGAATTTACGATCTTGACCTTTGACCTCAAAATCAACAAGGGTCTTCCTTAAGCCACAGGGAGTTATTACATAAAATTTCATTGCAAAAGCTCAAAGGCTTCTCAAGATATCACATGTAAACAAGTGTTAAAACAGACAGAATTTATGAATTTATGACATTTGACCTTTTGAAAATCAATACGAATCTTCTTTATGCCATAGGGAGTTGTTATGTAAAATTTCATTGGGAAAGCTCAATGGCTTCTCAAGATTTACGTGCAGATATGAAAGTGTTACAGTCTTACAGACAGACAGAAATATAGATGGACGGATGGACAAACCCAAATTAATATCTCCCACTTTCAATGAAAGCGGGAGACAAAAAAGAGAGAGATAACATTAACAAGATTGCTGACAGGACAAGTCGTAAAAGTAGCCAAGTAACTCCCTCCCTCCCTTTATTTTTCATTATCTATCTTTTTAACAGTTGAGATATTTTCTCTGTGAAATCTAGAGTTGTACTAATTACTTACCATCAGATGGTTTAACTTGTGGAAGTTTAGACTCCTGTAAATTCTCATCCTTTGGTTTGTAACTTCGAAACACAGGTCTATATTAGAAGAAATTAAATGTATTTTAAACTTAATGTTATTTTTATTAGGTACAGAAAGAATTAAAAGACGAAAATGAAATAAAGGATAAAAATTATAATTAACACGATGAGTATTGTTGCAGTGTACAGCTCACAGGCACTTGTTTCATATACGGGGCACCCCTACTTAATTTTACCACAAGGTACCTAACTCAATTTCAGGCACCCCCGCTTCAAGCTCGTATTTTGTTCATATATCAATCATTAACCTACTTTAAAATTATTTCGTTCGCTTCGAGAGACTTTTATCTTGTCAAATAAATCCTTCAGACGTCTCTGGCCGAGCCTCTTTATTGTAAACCACTCATTTATTCCTCGAAAATTACCTCGATACAAAATAAGAGTTCAGATGGGATACAACTTCCGGTTGGGGTTAGGATAAAACCAAAGACTTCCGAGTTTTCCATTCCGAGGTCTCTGGTCTTATCCTTCATTTATAACCCAAACCGGAAATTTGTATCCCATCTAAAGTCTTAATTAATTTTCGAGGAATATATGAGTGGTTTACAATAAAGAGGCTCGACCAGAGACATCTAAAAGGATTTATTTGACAAGAAAATAGTCTCTCAAAGCGAACGATATAATTTTAAAGTAGGTTAATGATTGAACAAAATACGAGCTTGAAGCGGGGGTGCCTGAAATTGAGTTAGGTACCTTGTGGTAAAATTAAGTAGGGGTGCCCCGTATACGAAACAAGTGCCTGTGGTACAGCTGGTGTAATCTGTTAACTAGCTGACTATGGTGTATCAACAGATGACCAGTGTTGAACAACCCTATGAGAACCCATACTTCGGTAACTGTTCTTCCTCTGATGGTTTTGATTCTGAGGAACCAGCCATTCTCTTTTCCTTCATCGCTTTTAAGCGTTCTTTCCTTTTCTGTGCCTCATCCTGCAATTTACCAACAGAATCCATGTTGAAAATTAGAATAATCAATGTCAAACTATGAGTTTAGTCTATATAACCCAAATTACATAGTTAAAAGCGCGAGGGGAACTTTGATTTTTACAAACTAGTTTTAAAACCAACTTCAAAAAATCTTTCCGAAAAAAGATTCCATCACAATGTGATCTTGCGTCATATTGTGAATTTTGAATTTACCGGGTGGCAACAAATACAAAATTTACAAGCAAGTTTTTATCATTACCATCGATGCCTCATTATTTTACAAAAGATATTTTTAAAAAGTTCATGAATGATGATAATTGTAGAAAATTATCTATTGTAGCAGAAACGTACTATACCTCCCTGAATGGAAAAGCGGTCATCAATTCTATTATTGCGTGTATTTTCGAAAGGTAGAAGTTTTTTTTTCTCAATGCTGATTATAGCATTAATTTTTTAAAATTAATAATTTTTTTGTTTGTTTGTTTTATTTTAATGATTTAAAGCAATTAAATTTATACAAAGCTGAAGTAATTATATGTATGTATACATTAATTTCTTTGCATAAATATTTTTCATTTAAAATGTTATCTGGTTTTCAATGTTTTAAACGTATATATGTCAGTACAGGCTAGAATGTGCTGTCTTAACTGTATTTATTCTGCAAATGAAGGATATGTGTCAACACGTATTTTATGTACATGTATTTTAAAATTTATTTATTAAGTAAATACATAAAATTTTTGTTCACATGTCGACTCACGAAAGTTCTCGAATGTTTTATCTTTCTTTCAAGCAACATGTAGATATCTTTCATGTCATTGCATCACATTTTCGGTTATTTACAATTACATAGGGTTAAACTTATCCACAGAGAACAAACGTCAACACTTTATGGTAGATATCCTTTGTTTGACGTCAGCGTCCCTCGGGGTTAGGGCTACGCTGCCAAATATTGGCCTTGTCAATAGAATGTTGTGCAATCACTGACACCTTCTGTCCTGAGATGAAAGCGAGATAGCGTCACCTTAAATGAACAAATGCTACGATATTAACTTTAGCCGAATCATCGCAGTTAAAAAAATCTACATGCTATCTTCGGATATTAAGCGATTCATCTTAAGAAAAAATAAAAAATAAAATGGATTTTATCATTGCATAAGAATTTAAAGTATATTTTTAATAAATTCCAGTGTTTTCATTTGCATGAAAAAACTTCATATGTTATGATTTTAAGAGATTGTATCAAAACAATTACAGGTACTTGGGTAGTGGAACTCTTGGCATGTCGTATGGGGAGGGGGAGGGGTTCCCCCCTTTTCCGAACATATTGGAAGCTCTAAACACTAGAGGAGATGTTTTTTCGACTTTGAGAAAACTGTATCTTTTAAAGGTGTACAAACTGAGTTTATCTAATTCATTTCAGTGGCGGATCCAGGAATCTTGAAAGGGGGGGGCAGTTTGGGGTTGGGGTAGGAGCCCACGGCCACACCAAATAAAATTGATTTATTAAATCTTATATCAATATATTTTGGACACAAAAGGGGGGCGGACCACTTGGACCCCCTCTAAATCCACCAGTGCATATTTAACATAACAGGGTACCTGTTATATTATATTTCCCCAGGAGAAATGTGAATAAAGATCGCTGTTATTTACTTACATTTGGAAAATACTTCTTAAATAATCTTGATCTAATATCAATGTTAAGAATATTTCAATCTATTTCCAGTTCTGTCATTCACTATACAGATTTCCATCAAATTTCATCTTGCATCAAAGGGCAGTTCATTTATTTATATATACACAATTTTATTCACAAAAAGTGAATGGGATTGGACAGCAGGCATAGCTAGCCTATTTTAGCCCTCTCCCTACAAGGGTAGATCATTCCAAGTAATTAACTACATGTACATAAAACTACCATGGAATTAGAACACATCATTATGCAGCGTTCACAGATTTCTTAATTAGTATATAAATGTTCAGTGAAAGGTCGATTGCCACCCCTCCCCCTCTCCCAGACCCTCCATTTTGTTGCAGTATATGTTCCATTTAAATGTCTCTAAAAAAAATCTTGTTCTATCCCCCTTTCCATAAAATAGGATTTTGGAGTTATAATTTTTTTTATTTGCTTGTCAAACATTTTTCCACATTAGGTATATAAGTTGTCTTCCCTCTTTCAAATAAGATGCTACGTGCCTGACTCCACCCCCACCCCACGCATACTTCCATCCCAACCCCGAATTTCTTCGCCTTTTGCTCGCAAATTACATTTATTAAATTTTATAGTGCATACCATTTGGAAATCTGAAGAAAAACATCGTTCAAAAAAAAAAATCTCCATCTGACTACTGAGTACATAATATCGTATCACTGCATGCATGTTGCTGTCTTGACTTAAAGCATAATTTATTTGCCTTCCTCCTTTTTTTCTCTCTTTAATCGGGGTAAGATAACAATTGCCCAATGTAAGATAGTTTTAGACATTATTTCAAGTTTGGGAGTGCCGATGTATTAGTCCAGACCTCGGGATTGTTCTCTTATCAGAAATGCATCTTTATTCGAATATTCTTATCGGATTAAGGGTCAGATAGTCCTGACTCTAATAATCCCTCTGATTATCAATGGGTTAACGACAAGAAAAGGAATTTTTCTTCTTCGTGGTACTTTGGATTCAGCACTTAGCAAGTTTAGCATTATATAGACAAAGGACTTCAAACTCATTTTCTACTTGACAAAAAGTTTTCTACATTTTGCGCTAAATGTTTTTTTCCTCCAAATTCTTTCCTCTTTTCCCCATTACTTTAATTTGATTTTGTATTGACAAGTGAGACTAGAGTCTTGCATTTTCACTTTTTGAAGAAGAAAAAATTGAGAACAGCCATTAGATCATATGTCGTTATATCCAAAGAGGCAATTTGTCTTTATATAAGATATATCATATAAAAGATATAATTTCTTCCATCCAATGCATATTCTGCTAATCACAAATGCGAAAATTGCATGAGCAAGAAAATTAAACATTGTGCATTTTATTAATTAGAAAGTATGGCTATGTTGCGGTATGATGAAATATGGAAGTACAACGTGCAACATAGCGTTGTTTTAGCGTTTATACAAGCAGCACGCGCTGTTCGAAATCTCATAAATCTGTTCTCTACTGAAGACACGCAACCATCTCTTCTTTTAACAAAAAAAAGTGAAATCGAGATTCCCTCGTTAAGAATGAAAATAGACAGGTGTTTTCCAACCGAGAAATGATGCATAACGTCTTGATCGCAATACTCTCCAGTTGTATTGTTTCTCTTTCGTAGCTGAGATTGGAGAGGTTTTTTTCTGTCGTTTTAGCTATTCAATGTAATCCTTTGAAGTGGGGTTTTATGGCTCTTCATTGACAAACTACAACTGGAGTGTTTAGGAACTATTGTATCGGTATTTTTCTCGATGCATTGTTATTTGAAGCCATTAAGCGCATGAATGAAAACCCGCGCGAAGCAAGTAAATCTGATACTAGCCTAGGAGCATACAGAATTTTTGGGGTGCAACAGAACTTGAAAGCTATTAAAAGTGTTTGTTTTGTTTTTTTTAAATTGTATATACATGTATACTTTACATAGGCTTTCTCATAAATTGCAGAAAAAAGTGATAGGAAAAGAAATCATAAAGACATTCTTCAGTATGCCGTAGAATGTGGGCGATGCGTGCTCTGAATAAAATTCCCAAAAAAGCTTTGCTTCCAATTAAAAAAAGTATCCTGATCAATACGGATTTTCTAATCTATTATTACATGTGTCTATACAAGTTGAATTTCTTAGAAACCATTATTTCCACGTCTCATTTGAAACATGGATAAACATTTCTTGTTCAAGGTCATTTAATAAAAACCATATGTGCTATATATGATTTTATTCAGATATATTTTCTGAGAAGAGGTGCCAGTACAAAGAGGCCTCGCGCCGGCGAGTGTGAATTCTGACATCTATGACTAAAACCTCATGCCAAACAGTGGGGGTATTACTTTAAAAAAAAAAATCGGAAATGCTGGGAAAAAAGAGACACGTGTGTAAAAGCCAGTGCATATCTTAAACGTGATTTAAAAACTAAATTTATACAGCCTCTTGAATCTAGAGTCTAGATCTCTATATATTGTATGGGAATTATGATGCATATATACATGTTTAACGAGTTTGAATTTTTTTCCTAGGATGATAACGATTTGATTTTTTTTTACTTTGATGATAATGCACAAAATTTCTTTAACAACTTGAAAAAAAATAGCCGAAAAAATAAGTGTTGAAATTTTCCAAGAATTCTACATTTTGCTTAAAACTTGTGGGTCGTGAGAAAATCCGGTTGAGCTTTAAATTACTGCAAAAGAAAATATTTTCATATCGGTTTGTATACCAGGTATTTAAATGAGGGTCAATGCTTGTTACCTTAGAGATTACATTTCTCAATTCTAAATATTGCGATCGGTTAAATTTCCATCAAATTAACATTCTTTACCGCCCTAGAAAAAAAAAACCGGCCAGCATTCAGCAGTTTTCTGATTTTTTGTCTGCTATCGTTTATCGATCGCTTTGTAAGCAATTATTGAAACCTCGTGAATAAACTATACAACCCCATTTTAGTTTTCTTTTGTGAGAAAAATTACAGATGACGATTAACGGGACACAGTTTCCCGCCAAATATTCCGTAGCATATGTTAATTTGGAGATAGCTTGATGCCCGAAGGTTTTGAGTGCTCCAATTTCAGAATGCTTTTGATGTAATATATATCCCCCTCGTTTAATGTCTGAAATAAATGAAACTGTAATTTACCTAAACATTTATATAGAATTTCCCGGATTGCTCGGTGGGAAACATGCATGTAGTCCCAGTTTTTTTTTTTTTCACATACTCTACATAGAGGATATACTGATCTGTATTGTGTGATTTGATATTTGCTTTATCCATCGAGTTAAATGGTGTATATTCGCGAGGCGATTGTGTCTTAAAATTGCCTAAGTCATTTTTCCATTTATTGATCTATATATATTTTGATTTTGTTATTTTAAAAATATTTCTTAATACTGTAAATCAACTTTGCAGATAAGTTCCACAAGAGAGAGAGAGAGAGAGAGAGAGAGAGAGAGAGAGAGAGAGAGAGATTTCAAGCTGATACACTATTTATCACTTACAACATATGGTCCTTTTGAGAAATAAATATAGAATTTTATTGTAAAGATTGGATCGAGAGCTTTTTTGCAAGGTGTTCCACTCTACATAATCCGACCACCTGTTGAACTCAGCGAATCAACTCGCCACCACTTGAGATAATAAAGTAAAGGGGATAATTTATACTGTTTACCGTGGCCATCGAGGGTTTGAAAGAGATAAACAAAATTTCAGCTTTCAGTAAACAAATCCATTTGATTTATAACCTAACATTTTTCCGGACAATATCAAAACAACTCCATACTTAGTGGCTTAAAATTGTACATTTTAATGAGATCCCTTTGTTGACCCCCTTCTTAAAATTCTTATAGCTGAATCATCAAATAGTTTTATCAAGGTAAAAGGGTTATGTCTGATTGGCCGCCCGTTTATATTTGTTCTCCTGAAATCCGAGGTTATCTCTATTCAGGGATCATATGTACCGGTATTACATGCATTGCGTACGCCACGAAAGAAAGGGTCGTGTACATGTAAATTTTAATAAAACATGCAAAATATGAATACAATTTTTTCCATGCATTGATTTTTAAAGTAATATTACAATAATATTACAATAAGTATTTTTACACAGTGGAAACTAGAGAAAGTTAAAGTTGACCAGAACTCAATAACTGTACATTAACATAAAAAATAAATATCGTACAATTACTTCTTAACAGATTCATATGTAAAATTGAAACTAAAAAGGAGATAAATTACGTAACTAAAAGATATTGTTCACAGTTAAATTGTAAAAAGTGCCTAGGTTGAAATAAACTATATTTAATTATTACCCTCTACGGAAATCTTGTTCAAAGCATTGTAAAAAAGAAAATATTGTACATACTAACTTAGTATGTCAGAAAAAAGTTTTGATTTCTATATATATTTTAAGCTCATTACAAACATAATTAAGTTAATTGTTTGATATATTAATTATTTGATTATATATTTTTCTTATTTTTTTTTTTTTATATCATACTCATGATCTGTGCATGTCACAATATATTTCCAAAGTTATTCAATCATTAGGACTTTTTCATTCATTCATGTATATGTATTCCTGTTTGAAATTTAAAAATAAAAAAAAAATAATAAAAAAAATATAAAAAAAAAAAAACATTCATAATTTTTTTTATTTAAATATTTTAAGCCTTCAATGCGCACCGAATCTTGCATGTACATACACAAGACATGTCAAAAATTTTGTAGTGCTTAAGGACGCTATCTAACACAAACGAATCGCCTTTGTTGTATCAAATCAATCAATAATCTGTTGTCTTTTCGACTGTGTACTATGTTTACAGCTGTTTATCCTGAATGAATGAAATGGGCCATGTAAATTGCACAGTGAATATTTGCAGAAAAAGGAAGTTCGAGTAAACAACATCATTGGCTGCTTTTTGATATTTATTACAATAAATACATTTAATATAATATACAAATTTATATGCAATAGATATATTGAATATCTGTCTCAAAATTATGAAAAATTTTGCCAATTTCTTCAGAAATATTTGCAATATGCTATCAACCGGGCCTTCTTTTTGTGACGTCAAGTTGCGGGAAATTTGATTTCCCGCGCTTTATTTTTGCTTTGTTTTGGTGTGTAGGCTGGGAGATTGTTTGATCAGCCGATCAGCCCAGCAAAATCTCGTGCCATCTGCCATTTAGATATCTATGCTGGAATGAATTCGGGCAAAATCTTTAATCTTTGGACATTTGACTTTTAGTTTTTAGACATATTTTGTAAGATTGTATTTTGTGTAATTAAATATCGAACTTCCTTTAGGCGAACCGGATTTGGGATCTGTCGGCCATTGACACACAAAGGAACTGTTCCCGGAATTTTTATTTTTCGAAAAAAATTAAGACAATTATGAAACGTGGTATCTTGACAACAAGTAAGGGAATATGTGCAGAATATGTGAAACAAGAACCGCTCGAAGACTATCCTCCTTCGCCCCAGATTTTGAATTTGACCAGCATTTATCGTCAACCTCTTAGTGCTACAAAGGATCCGCAAGTGCATTCACAAAACACTATAACTGTGCATCGTGGAGGTCTTACCCCACATGGACCATGTTACAGTCCTGTTACTGGTGTAAAGCAACTTATTGGAAGACCACAGGTAAATGCACAAATAGGCTAAAATTCAAAATAATCGAAATTATTGTGCAGTTAACAAGGCGTGCCACAGTCTGGGCGTTCGATCACGTTGCAATAAATATTGCAAGTCAGCATTTGCAGGCTAAAATTATTTTCTTTTGATTTATTAAAGAGAAAGTTAAGTTAATAAATCCTTAAGTGATTTTTTTCAAGGAATATGGCTGTTGTATTTAAATACACAATCATGAAGGAGCAGTGTCATTTGACCAGCCTGCCTCGTTTTTAGCAAAGCTGTCGCCTATCTGCCTTGCAGCAATATTGTAAATAACACTTTTCTGTACTAGATATAAAGCACTTTGACATGATTATATATATCTAATGGTGATAATGCAGATTCAGCTGCACTGCTGATTTCACTACGTTATATAAACTGATGATTCCACATATATATATAAATGAATCATTATGATTTGCATGTTTTAAATGATTCATTGTTTTGGAAGCTGCAACCGAGACAAGTATTTGTTTAAATAATACTTCATGAAATATTTTTGGATGTTGCATAAAATTTATATATCCATGCGAAAATAAACATGTATTAAATCAGTAATAAATATACATGGTTAGTGTGTGTATGATAGACAAGATAGTTCGACATTAATCACAACATAAAACAATGATATCCCATTTGCTAAGATGCCTATTACTCATGTTGTTATTTCCATCTACTTTATAGTGCATGTATGACGTGCATGTACATATGAAAATTGAGGAAGGAAGAGGGGCACTTTAAACAATTAAATTAACTTTGATGGTTTTTCCTTCCCTATGTATTTTGTGTATCAACTGACTGTTGGTCACAGCCAAACATTATACAAGTATTAGGAGCATTGCATCACTGTTATCCTAGTAAAGACGATAAAAATTCATTGATTTCTGATCTCAACAGCTGTTGCTTTACTATCAGTAAGATGGTCATTTCCTATCACTTACTAGCCATATAATTACTCATTTATCTCCCTTGATAATGAGCATTTTATTATGTAATAAGGATATTAGTTTTCATCTAACATGTCTAATGTTCAGACAGTCTCATTTTGACAATATCTCCTCACTACCCTCCACAGCAGGGGGTGTAAAAACAGGAGCAAGGTGCCTATTTTCACAGTGTTTCCCCCAGCCCCATATCTAGGTGAAATCTCTAGAGTCCAATGGTTTATTCCTTGTCACACCCCAGTGGCCCATTGTTTACATACCTGAATGTTTATTGCCAGGTAATTATAACAAATCATGCTAGATGCCATTTGTTTACCTAAGGATTACAGGAGTGAGTGATAATCTCTGAACCATAAAATGGTGTCCTGGGAAAAAATCAGTGACAATTCATAATCTCTAGCCATGAAGTTATTAAGCCAATTATCACACCCTTATAAAAGGTGCACTGAGTGGTAAAGAAGCAAGTGTGAATTTATCAAGGGTAAACCCCCAAAGGGTCAGGCAGAGTTACTACTGAGTAGCATTCAGATTTCACTCTAGGAGAACTTGTAACACTAGCAAGATGGTGGTCTTACTTGTACCTGTCCATACAATTGTAATTTTATTTTAAATTTTTAGTTAATTTAAATATTCTTAATTGTTTTGTGAGAAATTTTATAAAAGTATTACCAAATTGTTTGACTATGTGCAACTTAATTTGTAATATTTTTCTAGGCTAAAAGGAAATTGGAATTGGAACCATCAAATATCACAAACGAGGGTTTCAAAACACCAGCAAAAACTTACAAAAGGAGACGAACAGTGTCAGGGGCTACTAGTCCAAAAGGTAGTCAAAAAAAAGGAATTGGTGGATTTTTTTCTGTTAACAAAGTTACAAATTAACGATATGCAAGTTTGAATTTGATATTGTCATACATATGGAAATGGTTGTTATATGTTTCAGTGCCAAAGCTTGGTTCTCCATCAGAAAAGACCAGGTATGACACGTCACTCGGCCTCTTGACCAAAAAGTTTGTAGGACTACTACAAAGTGCAACAGATGGGGTATGTAACACTTAGTAATTAGGCCAAAAAAAATAATAGTCTTGTTTCCTGCTACCGGCCTGAAAAAAATAGAGTAGGTAGGTAGGAAAATTATTTTATTTTATATTTTTATTTTATTTTTTTTCCGACAGCATTTTTTGGATATGAACTAATACAAGATCAAATTAAACATGTCACAGGTCAACGTTGTCTTTTAAAATTAAATTTCATCTCTTTTTATGCACAACTCAAGTGGTATTTTATGAAAGTCCATATTTAAAACAAGAATTTCATGAAATGCTTGTTTTGTGTTAACAAGGAAACCGATTACGGTGACAGAAAAATGAAATTCCAGAAATTCCCGATTTTTTTTCTTCCAAAACTTAAAAAAAACTTTAGGGTCGGGGGCTAAAAAATAGGGTAGGTCGGGTAGCAGGAAACAAGACTATTATTTTTTTTGGCCTTATGGTAATGAGTCTTTTTAAAATGACCACTTGCTAACTTTGAGATTATAATTGTACATGTATAACTGTAGTGAGGATGATAATTGACTTTTCTTGTTGCCAGTTTCTTAATAAATATCCAGCAAATATAAATGCTTTAGTATTTTAATCAAAGTGATAAATTAATTTCTAGGAGTGAAGCAGTTCACCGCGGTATCGATGCACCGCGGTATTTTTTCTCGGTTTGATACACGGTGCAAAATCTCTAATTTTCGTTTCGGTTCATTTTTCGGTCGGGATCGTTATTCAGTCGGGTTTGGCATAAGGTATAACACGTTACTCAGAATAAATAAGTATAGAAAACGTAAATTTTTGATGACTGATAGCTTGTAAAATAATTTTTGACAGTCAAATAATTTTAATCAATTTCTTCTAGTCAATTTGCAAATAAAATTCGTAAAATATGTGACTAGATTTAGAAAAAGAAAGCATAAAACAACGTAGAATTTGTTTCCTTCTATCAAAATGTATCGTATCGAAAATAACCGAACCGAGACAAAATTATACAATACGTATCGAACCGTGAAGGAGGTGTATCGTTTCACCCCTATTAATTTCAGCTTTTGACCTTCTTTGAAAAAAAAAAAGCACTTTCATGTTATATAGAAGATTCAGTACTCAAAAACATGTGGATGTTCATCTCTTATCACAGGTTCTTGACCTGAACAAGGCAGCAGAGTATTTAGAAGTCCAAAAGAGAAGAATTTACGATATAACTAATGTATTAGAGGGAATCAACCTTATATCTAAGAAGTCAAAGAATAATATACAGTGGAAGTAAGGACACTTGTGTGTAGAACTGTAGATAATGATGGAAGTGTCCATCATCTTTTACTTGTACTCCCATTATCAAGTCCATCAATAGCATCATTCACATTCTTCTGTAAAATTAAATGTTGAAGAAAATTTTAGAGTTTATATTTTTTCCAAATTATAGACAGAAATATACATAAGAAATATTATTTTAATGAAAGAAAAATATGAATTAAAGATCAAGAATATAATGCTAAAAGTGATTTTTTTTTTTTTTTTTTTACTTTCAGGGGATGCACTAACTCAATAGCAGCTAATCCTGATTGTCCTAGATTATCTACAGAAATATTAGGGTTAAACACAGGTAATTATTAATGTGATAATATATCTCATTGCAGAAGTTTCATTTTGCATGTTTCTACATAATATTGCAATCCATTTAAAAGACCGAGTGTGACTTAATGCTGGCTAATGCATGTATGTTTATAGTTTTAGTGCAACAAGTAAATGTTACATGTGCTGATATCAGTAGTACTGATAATATCTATAGTTTCTAGCTGTAATACCTTATTTTTTTCTTCAGAATTGGGTGATTTGGAATCTAAGGAAAATCACCTAGATCAGCTCATTGCAACATGTACCAAACAGCTAAAGCAGATGACCGAAGACCCAGCTAATGCCAAATATCCTTTACCAAAAAAAAATATGTTCCTCAAAGACTTTCATGTTAAATTGCTTGATCATTTTAATCAAGATAAAATTAACTGATTAAATCTAAAAGAGATTGATAATTCATAGTTTCCTTAACTTGGCTACATTAGCTCACGTCACGTACCAGGACATTCGCAGCATAAGCTCTCTGGATGAGCAGACTGTGATAGCTATAAAAGCTCCCCCTGAAACAAGGCTGGAGGTGCCTGATCCAGAGACCAACATCCAGATATGGCTAAAGAGCAACAAAGGTCCGATTGAGGTCTACCTATGTCCAGAGGACACGGAAGGGAATGGGGATACCAGCTCCTCTAGTCTTGGAAGCATGAACAGCGAGGAGAGTCGCGAGAGTTTGTATGTCTCTGATGACTCGCTTTCCTGTGACAGTTTTAGATGTAAGTACACATGGGAGGAAATTTTCTCTCCATCTCTCATACTCTGTCCCCTCTCTTTCTGTGAAAGAATGAATTTTTAAAGTTTGTAATTTGCAGGGTTATACAGAACATTAATTTGTTGCAGTGGAAAATTTATTTTTTTTTAAAAAGATGGAATCTTGAAAAAGTGTAGTAAATTAATCTTTGATTTTTTGAAATGTTTTGAATAAGGATTTATAGTTTATACCTAGTAAAGCAATTTTATTTTGATTTAATAATTGAATGCCTGCTCAGTGTACTATGTAATTTTGTAGCTGCAAAGAAAATTAAACAAGAACCCGACATAGGCATCAAGACAGAACCTGACTCTCAGGCAAGTAATTGCAGCAACAGAAGTATGTCCACAGTCAAAAACGCCCTGTTGGAGGACCAAGACATCTCCCCCGACATAGACGGGAACATTCTACCTCAAACTGAGGACCAGGAACTGGACTCCCCTTTCATACACCTAGATGCTCCCCTCAGTATGGACGATTACATATTCAGCTTAGGTGATGGGGAAGGAATTTCTGATTTGTTTGATGAATGTGATTTTGATAGTATTATACCTGTTGTGTAAGGGAATACTGATTTTTGGATGGTATGATTCCAAAGTTGGTTGAAAGGGAGATAAATCTTAACAGTTTTTTTCACTTATCATAACTTTTGCTCTGCATGGCAAGCTTGTATGTATTCTACTGATTAGAACCTTTGAAAACTTTTATTTAAATTTGAATATGGTAGAAAGAATATCTCAAAATTTTGCCTAAAGACATATATGTACTATACAGTAATTAGTAGAAATATTGCCTTAGTTCAATGTAACTAATAGAGTCTGGATAGAACAGAATCTATTTTTTGTGATTTATTTATTTAACAGATTGATTAAGACAACCTTATTTATTAGCTGTGTGGTAGATGTTGTAACTGTATGCAAGTGAATTAAATAATTTTATTGATTAAATCTCCTGAATTTGTATGCTTATGCATAGAATTTGCTAATAACTAGCACATACTAGTCTTTCATTTATCTCAGATTGCACTATAGCTGAATATTTTTATACCATTACGGAATATGTTGGAATTATGGCATACTTTAATACATCATGTCAATTTTTTTTTTTTTTAATTAATAAGGGTCAGGACATGTGTTCAGAATATATTTTTATACATATGAAACTGATACTTGTGATATTCCTCAATACATCATGTGTTACGTCAAATTGCAAAAGAATTCACTATATATCACCTTATCTTCATGGTTTATATTCTGTGAAAACTGTGGGTTTTTTTTAATACCTGATAGATCATAATTTGTCAATGTGTGTTAGCAGCTATGTATACTACGTGCTCAAGAAATCACCAGATGTGTTCAGTCGCACTTTTTTCACCGTGTTTTGCCATCTATGAATATTAATTGTTCATAAGTTCACCAAATGTGTTCAATCAAACCTTGCCACTGTGTTACAGCTGCTGAGAGTATTAAGTGTTCATGAAATCACCAGATGTGTTCACCGTTTGTGTTCATTAAGTACCACTCCCTCGTGTTCACACAATATACCATGTGTTCAAAGAATTACCACAAGTGTTAACAAACAATTGAAACTACTCCAATATGCAAGAAATTCTTTTTATTTCTGTTGAGAATATTTGATGTTAATATTCACAGCATTTTGAGTGAATGGGTTGCATAAGTTTGCAAGAGGTTTAGTGTGTATATTTTTTTTTAACAAGCATGAAAACACTCCAAAATTATGATTTTTCTTAATGTGTGTCTGTTAGCCCTGTAAGTTTTGCATGTAAGAAAAATATGTACTGAGAAAATCAGCACATTGATTTTTTGATAAGAAATATATGTCTACATACATGACCATAGTGCTAGTGTACAGACTTACATACTTGTCAAATTCTGACAAACATATTTACAGTGTGGATGTTTTGATGTCACGTGCTAAGTATTGTATCCCTGCATATGGCTTTAATTAAAGGAAAAACATATAATTTTAATATATGAGTGTATTTAATAAGTTATTCTGTGTGTAACATTTAGGTTTTTGTTGTGTATTGCATGTGTAAAAGATTACCTCGTAATTTAACTGTTTGCTTGATTTAGTATTGTGGCGATTTTCATTTAATGCATGTAATGTGAATTATTTTATAAAAAGCTTTCGATTTTGTATAACTAAATTTACTCAAATTCCAAGGGGAAAAAAATGAAAAGATGCAGTAAGTAAAAGCTTGAAGACATCAATTCGTGCAAATCTATATAGCACCCCAAAAAATGGGGACTTTGGTCTCCAAAACAATTTTGGAAGGAAATAGCATTATTCACTATAGAATTTATTATAATTCTAGATTTCAAAATGAATGTAGTATATTACTAGTCATGTAGGCGATTTGATTGATGTGCAATTTGAAATTATAAAGAATTTATATAAGAAATGTTACAATAGAATCTATAAAGTTATTGATAGATCAAATTATGTCTTATTTTTAAACAGTATTTTTTTTTTTCACATTGATGTTGTATTTAATAGTTTTATAAATATTCTAATAGACAAAAAAGAATGCATTACAAATTCATTTTTAATACAGTTTTATGCAAAACTTAAAGATAGTATGACCGGTGGTGAAAAACTCTCATCAAAAACATGATAGCATTTTGTAGGGCGGAACGTGGGAAAGGAGGGGTCATCTGTACCGGATTCCACTGTTTCTTGTGATTGTACCTGAAAACAATTTTAAAAAGCTTTTAGCGAGATTTCAAAAAAAATTGAAATTGTCTTAGGTTCAAAATGTTTCTTCATCATTGTTGGATGAAAGTGAAGTTAATGCATCTGTCTGTCTTTGTAAATGGCACTTTATGATTCATTATGCATGTGTAGATAACACTTTTTTTCTCTCCTTATTTTCTTATAATAAAGCACTTGTGCAGGGACCAGCATGCCTGTTTTTGGTATTGTTTCTATTGTTAACCAGCTGTTGAAGTTATTTGTTGACTTTTCTTACCATGTTAATCACATTTCCCCCTTTCGTTTTCTCTGCAGTGGAATGCTTGTTAAATTGAATGTATTAATATACCCAGAAACAGAGAAAAGCATGTTTTATTTGGATGGAATTCACTATACTATCTTTTTGCATTTATATTTTTTTTTTATTTTTTGCATGATAGTAAAATTAGTTTTAGTACAATTTCATTGATAGTTTGGACTTTCGTAGGTAGTGATGTAATACACTCTGGCAGTCTTTGTTGAACTGACAGTCACATATTTCACTATGCTGTATGTTTCGCAACAAAGGAAATGTCAGCATAGGAAAAGTTGGCTAAATTTCATCGTATTTAATCGATGCATACAGATCAGATGTCCAAACCGTCAGTGAAATTGTTCTAGCATGTGTGTTGTAGCTCAAGTTTGATAGACTTATAATCAGCTACTAAACTTGTTAAAATTTTCATCAAAAAGCAAAAGTAATGTGAATTTTTTTTTTTTTGAATATGTGTACTTACATGTATTATACATGTTTAAAAATTAGTTTTTACAGTGTTTAAAAAAAAAATTCTACTAATGCACAAAAGAGATTATATTATTTCATATCAAGAAAAAAGAATGAATCCACTAGCTAATATTCTATTCTAAGTTATTATCAAAGTCAAATTTCTCTAATCATGAACTTGCAAAATAGTGTCAATTTATGTAAATTTAAATCCATGAATTACTTCTGACTTGGAGTAAGGTGTTGATTGTGTTCAAGTGTGTTTTTTCTTTAATTGCTGACGGGTTATACACTATATTTCTGTACAAACAGAACTGTTGTGATGTGAAGTGCGTTAATAAACCTACAAAAAAGATTTTGATTGTTGTGCATTTTTAGCTCACCTCAATAAAGTTGAGGGAGCTTGTGTAATACCCGCAGTTTTCTTTTCAAGTACTTCTTTGCCTTGTATCAATAAGAGATGCATGGAGGATGCTTCTAGTATGTTTCATTGTATTAGTCAAGGTTTCAGATGCTGCAATTTCAGCTGAAGGATGACCAGGTTAATGTTTTTGGAGAAGATTAAAGTTTTTGGAGCAGATCTCATTTCCAAGTAACTCTAAGCCCTATGTTAACCAAACTTGCATTGATGATACATCTAAGGATGCACACTACTGGACTTGCTTCGGATGCTGGATCTGACCTACTTTTTCCGGATGAGTGACCAGGATAAAGTTTTTGGAGCAGGTCTCATTTCCAAGTAACTTTAAGCCCTATGTTATGGCATGTCAAATGTTGCAATATTCGATCTTTTCCATTTGTATTGTATAATTTTCTATTTGTATTGTATAATTTTCCATTTGTATTGTAAAAGTTTCCATTTGTATTCTATATTTTTTCATTTGTATTCTATAATTTTTCATTTGCATTGTAAAATTTTTTATTTGTATTCTATATTTTTCATTTGTTTTCAATAATTCTTCATTTGTATTGTATAATTTTTTATTTGTATTGTATAATTTTTTATTTGCATTGTATAATCTTTATTTGTATTGTATTATTTTCAATTTGTATTCTTTAATTTTTCCTTTGTATTGTATAATTTTTATTTGTATTGTATAATTTTCCATTTGTATTGTATAATTTCTCATTTGTATTGTAAAATTATAGAATACAAATGGAAATTTATAGAATACAAATGGAAAATTATACAATACAAATGGAAAATTATACAATACAAATGGAAAATTATACAATACAAATGAAAAATTATACAACATAAATGAAAAATTATTGAATACAAATGGAAAATTATACAATGCAAATAAAAATTATACAATACAAATGAAAAAATATACAATACAAATGAAATATTATAGAATACAAATAAAAATTTTACAATACAAATGAAAAATTATATAATACAAATGTAAAATTAAAGAATACAAATAAACATTATACAATACAAATGGAAAATTATAGAATATAAATGGAGAATTATAGAATATAAATGGAAAATTATACAATACAAATGGAAAAGATCGAATATTGCAACGTTTGACATTCCATACTATGTTGACCAAACTTGCATGGATGATACATCTTAAGATGCACACTACCAGACTTGCTTCGGATGCTGGATCTGACCTACATTTTCCAGATGAGTGACCAGGTTAAAGTAAACTATAAGGGCTATCTGAACCAAACGTCCATTGATGATGCATCACGGGATGATCACTCAAACTTGCTTCAGATGCTGGATATGACTTACATTTTCTGGATGAGTGACTAGTTTAAAGTTTTAGGTTTGTCCATTCCCAAGTAACTGCAAGCCCAATCGTACCAGAACTGCATAAATGTTACATCTAGGGATGCACACTACTAGATTATTTGTTAGGGACTTTGTCTTACTTAAAGACAACATTCGTTGAGGTGAACTCTGTAATCTCTGATTACCTAATAGATGGTTTGTTCTGGGAGGGACAATACTTGGGAGTAAAGTAGGAATCGGTTTGAATTGGAGCCTATGTTCTGACAAATAGAACTTTTTTCATAAATGGAAAAAAAATGTCTGACATAAAAGCCACTCTGACTTTTTGCTGTGAAAATCAAATACCAGTAAATGTAGTTAAAAATACTATTGATGTGATGTACATGTATCTCTTACAAGAGGTCGCATTTGTACAATGTAATCTCACCCCTAAGTCGAAAACGGAAAATGTGATTGTCAGAAGACCTAAGTAAATCAGGATCACGTAGTACAATTGTTGATGACAGACACCGAGATGACGAAAGCTTAACCCTCTCAAATGGTTGCACAAACTAAAATCGTAAAATTTAGTCGATGTTCCCCTGCGCTTGTTCTGGTATGAAATATAATAAGCATCTGACAGTTCTGTGCGACGTAAATCTAAGCATGTCACTGCCTTTTCCAAGTCCAAACTTTGTATATAGAATTGTAATATTACCAATATTTGCATTGTTGTAACTGTTGTCTTATTATTAGGGTTCGTACAGTCCAGCATCATTATTTTTCAAACACTTTTCCGGCACCATTAAGGCTATTTTCAAGCTTTTATAAAGCACTATTGGACAAATAAATTTGCAAATAAAAAATGCTTAGCTCTGACATTTATCCTCTTTATATGTTTTTTCCCAACATTTTCTATTTGGTAATGCATCTGCAGGTATATCAACACAATTTTAATTATTGTCCTTTCTTTCTTTCTCTCTCTCTCTTTCAATTTTATTGTTTAGCAGTCGAAGATCAGAATTCAAGCACCATAGTTAAAATACTCGAGCATTGAACATGCAAATTGAAGCACTTTTCCATGACTTTTTGCTCTTTAAACATTTTCAAGCATTATTCAAGGACTTGGTCAAAATTCAAGCACTTTTCATGGTCTGTATGAACCCTGGATAAATTACGACAATTAAAAAAAGGAAATAATGTGAAGTAAATCTCATAAGGAAAGATCACAACATTCCGACTAAGGAAGTTAAATGCATGCTCTCAATAAGAAACTTTTGTGCATTAAATTTGCTCCCCATAAAATACCCCAGGCTCCGGGGCCATAAAACTTAGACGAGCTCACTTTTGATATCAGTCTCACTTTTACAAATGGAATTGATATTGGATAAGTGAGAATGAGATCAAAATTGAGTACTGGCACGAAAAAGATCCTCACTACTCAAAAGGCCATAAGGGCCGAGTACAGGTCTAAATTTGCAGTCCTCCACCGGCGTCTCAATATGATTGAAAAAAAATTCTCGAAAGGACGTTAAACAGCAAAGAAAAACGAAATAATGGGAATGTGGCGGACAGCTGATTAAAATCAAACCTTCACTAGCTCCTTTTTATTTTGATTGTTGTAGGTAGCGCTAGTCTCATTGGCAGACTCCCGTCTAGAGTTGATCATGAGGCCCAAGTTCAAATCCTTGTGTGGTCCATTCCATGTATTTTCTTCCTTCCTGTTTGTTTGGGTATAGGTACAGTGTATATCATATGCAGTAGGCATTAGCTTGAGATAAAAGATACCACAGAGTCTGACACATCTGTTTCATATTTGGATATTTTACTTGAAAAAGACGTTAATGGTAATCTAACAACCAAGCTTTATGATAAACGCACGTGATGACTTTAACCTTTCAATCGTCAACTTCCCTTACTTATGCAACAATATACCTTCATCACCTGCATACGGGGTTTATATCTCTCAGTTGATTAGATACACAAGAGCATGCTCTACCTATGGACAATTTCTAAAACGAGGTAAATTATTGACAAACAAGTTGATGAAACAAAAATATCAGCAGTCTCGTTTAAAGTCATCATTTCGTAAGTTCTATGGTCGATACAATGACCTTGTCAGCAAATACAATTTATCATTGAGTCAAATGCTGACTAACGTTTTTCATACTAATTGTTAGGCTATTATTTACACACTGGATTGTCGACGGATTTTTCCGTTATTTCCCGATCATGACAAGGAGCACACGGCGTATGTGACCGGTCGGCAGGGGATGCTCACTCCTCCATGGCACCTGATCCCACCTCTGATGTTTTGGAGGTCCGTGTTTGCTCTGCTCCTATTTTGTATTGTTTAATGGACTTTTGAGCTTAAATACTGTTCGTTATCTCCATATATTTCATGTACAAGTATCTTCAATAGTGACTGCATGTTCTTTATATATGGCAAATCATTAAATGGAGTTGATCTCAATAGAAACGTAAGATTATATCCATCTCTTGCTACAGAGTGTTATCCAAACTACAGAGTGTTATCCAACATACAGAGTGTTATCCAAAAGTGAACTATTCTTGTTTTCAAACTCCGTGCATATATTCCGATAATCTGTCATTTACAAGCAATTTTCAGACCTATTTGTATTTTAATTGTGACTATAATGTCAAGGGGCAAGTGAAAGGAAAAATATCATTTTTATTAAAATATGATTGATTTTTAAAGCGAACAAACCACGCTGTAATTTTCTAATTTATCAATTGATTCGAATAGGGTGAGATTTAAAATTCTGAATGTATTTGAAGTTGCGTGCATTTAAATACCGGTTTGTATTGAGTGGTATAAATATACCTCTTAACGACCATGTTCGCCCTTATCTCGTCCAAGAATTTCAAATCTGTGTTAGACAGACGGTAGTCCTAACCATTAAAGTAAAGAGAAAAAAATTGTCGTGAAGATAAAATTTTCCATTAGTGCCTTTAAAAAGTTTCAGGTGATGGCAATGAATATTCTTCCATAAAAAAGCATCGGGAAAGTTGTGGCTAGAGAAGAAATTGCTATTTTAGTGGAAGGAGAATAAGATAGCCACAGGGTAGGTAGAATAATCAGTTGATCGATATTTCCACCCTCGCGAGGTGACATGTTACCAAAATCTAATTAATCTTGGTTTAAGTTAATTTATTGTTACAATCACTATATCCATTGATCTTTGTACTTCGTTACGTCACTAACTAGTTTTAAATCTAGTGCAATCTTAATAAAAGGCACACAGTGCCATTTAAAACTCTACTTCTTGGTCATTTAAGATCGAACCTTTTTGATTATATACAAACACTTGTATACAGGGGCAAAGGTTTGGTGCCTTGCCAAAATCGAATTCTCATCAAAAAATAGTTCAAACTGATCTAGTTACTGATCCATTGTTTCATATGCATTTCTATTGATTAAACCTATGATTTATCACCCTCTGTGACTGCATGCACACAGTTTAATCAGTTTATAACAACACAGGAGCAGTAATCCCTGAAGTAAGTACAAATATTATTTTTGTTGAAAGGATTTGTAGCTATCTATTTACTTTTCTTTTGAAAAAAGAGGCAATACATGTATGTCATGACTTTGCTCGTTTCATTTAATTTTGAATCCTTTTATTGGATTAACTCAATAGAGGAATGAAACATTCAATGGGTCAATCATACAATGGAATTTTGGGAAACACGTTAACTTTTGGGATCTTGACGACTGTTTAATTGTATAGATCCCCTCTTCTTTGATTATAATAATTGAAAATTGATTCTAAATTCCAGAAAGGAAGAGCCTGTGTTAAAAAGGTGAACATGGCATCATCATACCTTGGCCCGGAGTCTCCAAGACCTCTAGCAGTGGTTTCTGAAGGTTACCAAACACGTTTCCGAATCCCTCACTACGATGAGAAATACTATTTTGGGAGAATTTACGAAGAGAAAATGTTCGACCTTATTGACAAGTATCTGGAGCTTGGTACCACCGATCGGTTCTGTTATATAGGCGATATAAAGGGCAGTCTGGTGGAGCGGATAGCAGATAAATTCTGTCTCCTGGAGCCCGTTATGTCTGTGATACCCGGCCATTTCAGTTACGTGGAAACTGACACCGAGAAACTTTTATCGGTGCGTGTTGCTCACACGGGAGCAGAAGAGTATTTCAAACAGCTAGCAACAAGTAAAGAAAAAGTGAAAACTGTTTTTGATAAAATTATCATCAAAGATGGTATTCGTTATCTTCAAAACCCAAAGGAATGTTATGAACATGTGATGCAGTGCGTTGATAAAAATGGTAAACTTCTTATTATTCATAGACCTGGGAATTTGAACACTCTTCCAATTTTCCAAGATGCAAGACAAAGATTGGAAGAGGTAGAAACACCTTATATGGACATCATTAAAGACCTCCAGGATTGCAAATTCGATGTACAGTGGGAGGTTGAGTGCCTTCCAATTCTTTTGCCAAAAAGAAAATGGTTTTCCATGTTGCAAGAAAAGTTCCCACCACAAATGGAAATACTTAGCGATTCTGAAATCATATCCGGATGTCGTGAACTGACGGAGGGGGTACTTAAATACGAGAGTGAAGTCGTGGAATTTCAGGACAGACTGTTATTTATCACAGTATCGCATTCGGCATTGGAAGATGGATTTCCAAAGATTCGAAGACATGGCAAAAATGATACTGGAACATTCCCCAACCTTAAAGATCTTAAATTTAACATGTCTGTAACGCCCGAGATCAGAAAGCTTCTTAAGCCACCGAAAAAGACAGAAGAAAAAGGAAAATTTCCATGGCAATAACAACCAATAAACTTAAATTGTACACTACTAAATGATGCACTGACAGAGCAAGTTTAAACCAGCGATTCAGTTGCAGTAAAGATGGGATGTAGCTATATGTATTCTGATTGAACTTTACAGTCGATCGTGCAATTGCTTAGGTTTTCTGTTTTCTCTTGCCGTCTACGTCAGAGGCAAGATAAACGATGGTAATTTGTAAACGTCATTAAGAATTACAAACATTGTGCAAATATTTAGAGTTATGAATAGTGTTTGTTAGTAAGATCGATAATTTAAACAGATGTCTCAATGCCTAGTAGATTTCTGCCTAGTCTTACAGACGTTCGTGCCAATCTGTGATTCTTCTGAATATATACTCAGAAGCATGCAGTGCTTAATAAAAAGTTGCTCAATCTATTGTGTGCTCTTTTCAGCCATTTGCGCAAGTACAATTTTCTTAACCTGCTGTGAGAGCAGGTGCACGACTGCTACGGATCGAAACAACTTTCTGCCGAGAAAGGCATTATAGTGGAATTTTAACTGTCAAACATTAGTGGAATTTTATTGTTTATCGTTTTGAGTAAAGGAAGAAAAACATTCAACCAAGACTTGGTCCAAGAGAGATAGTTTTAGAATTTGTGAATCATTTTTCATGAAAAATTTTTATTTCTCACCAATTACTTCGATTTTTCTCAACTTTTGGTCAGTGTACTTTTTAGTGAATTTTACTGAACTAGCGCCATATCCTCTGTCAGAAAATAATATTCCATTTTACAAGCAGAGGGCCCTCTTAAAATTCTCCCTTCTTTAAATCGACAAATTATTAGTAGGTCTAAGACCATGCAATATTTCGGATGTGAAATTTCAAATGGTATCGAGGAAGTACAATTATTGGAAGAAAGAAAATGTCGCTGAATTACAGTGTTCAATTTGGTTTAAATATCAAGTATAGTTAAAAATTTCCATGTTTAGGAGATTCTGATAAGTTGTTCTGCCCTTATTATTGAAAAACAAGAGGCCCATTTAATGGCCTTATAACAGTCAAATTCAAAAATTGTTGTTCAAGATCACTGCACTTGTTTTACCCACGGGCACTCTATGGGTGAATTTTGAGCCAAACTGGGCCAAGGGGAGAAAAAAATATGCCATGGACAAAGGGATTTACATAGAGAATTTTTCTTTACATTGACCTTTGATTTAGATTTAGAAAATTGGTTCAAGGTCACTCCCTCTACCAACGGGCACTCTATGGGCCAAACTGGGCCAAGGGGAAAGAAAATGTGCCCCGGAGAAGGATTTTACACAGAGATGTTTGATCTTGACCATTGATCAATTGCAAGAAAACTGGTTCAAGATCACTGTACACATTCTGCACTTGAATGCGACTGGGCCAATGGGAGAGAAAATATGCTCCGGAAAAGTATTTTACACAAATATGTTTTCGACCTTGACCTTTGATTTAGAATATTAGTTTAAGGTCCTGCACACCCTCTACCAACGGACACTCTTTCGGTAAAGTTTGAGCTCGACTGGGCCAAGCGGAAAGAAAATATGCTCCGGACAAATGAAATAGAATTGACAGACTGATCACTATATATATTTTAAAGCACCCGCAGACCGGGGCCTTAATTATGCACTTAATTGAATTCTCAATACTCAGGAGCAGAGAAAAAGATGGTAAAAATTAAGCATTTTCACTAAAGGATCAATACTACGAAAGCCTATTAGGATCAAACTACGGTAAAAAGAAGATTTAAAAGGCGTTAGAAAAAAGGCGTAATAACGCCTTTTCAAAGGCGTTATAACGCGGAAAAAGGCGTAATAACGCAAATAAAGGCGTAATTACGCCTTTCCAAAAGGCGTTATAACGCGAAACAAGGCGTAATAACGCCTTTTTTCGCGTTATAACGCCTTTCTAAAAGGCGTTATAACGCCTTTCCAAAAGGTGTTATTACGCCTTTCTAAAAGGCGTTATTACGCCTTTCTAAAAGGCGTTATAACGCCTTTCTAAAAGGCGTTATTACGCCTTTTGAAAAGGCGTTATAACGCGAAAAAAGGCGTTATTACGCCTTTCCAAAAGGCGTTATTACGCCTTTCTAAAAGGCGTTATTGCGCTTCTTTTTTTTTTCTCAATACATGACTTAGCCCACCCTGGGGGCTGATTATAATTAGATTTCTAGGAAAAAAGATTTTTAAAAGTGTATAATATTTTCAGTGTTAAACCAACTTAGTCCTTCTCTGATGCCAGACGCTTCTACCAAGGTGTACGGATTTCAGAAATTTTGTTGAAGGCTAATTGCTCATTATACCTATGCAAATACTTTGCCTGTTTTTTACCAAGAGGAGAGAAAAATATTTCAAATTTGACATGAATTTTTAATACGTGGCTAGCAAAGCCCAAAGCTGGTTCTGCCTATATCCTGGATTTTCAAAAGTAGAGTGTTGACTTCTCTTAATATGCATGCAAAATGCAAACAAATGTCTGCGAGATGTGCAGGAATGTAGAAAATACTATAATTTATAATATAATTTATAATATTAAAACTATAATCTAAATATTGCATAAATAAAGATGGCTTTGGTTCAATCTTTCATGTATTTACTATTTTAAAATAACGCCTTTCCATTTTTGGATACAACTCCTTTTCAGACAGGCCGGTAGTACGAATGTGAGGGGGGGGGGGGGAGTCCCCCACCCCACTTTTTGGGAGAATAGTCTTGCTATAGTTTAAATATAAAAAATCATTAATTGATTGCTTGGCTCCTTAACATTTTGTTGCAGTATGGTTAAACTCGGGCAAGTCATTGCATTTAAAAAAAGTTTTACCGATAAATTAGAAAAAGTTTCCCCTCAAGTTTAGGCAGTTTATTTTTTTTCGGGGGGGGGGGGGGGGGGTTCTTGTTTTTTTGTTTGCTTGTCAATTTTATGGGACCCCCCCCCCCCCACTTTAAAAGCACGGGCCTGTCAAAGACATATTAATGGCCCTTCAAAAGGCATAATAACGCCTTTTAAAAGGCGTAATAACGCCTTTTGGAAAGGCGTAATAACGCCTTTTTTTGCGTTATAACGCCTTTTGGAAAGGCGTAATAACGCCTTTTTTCGCGTTATAACGCCTTTTGGAAAGGTGTAATTACGCCTTTATTTGCGTTATTACGCCTTTTTCCGCGTTATAACGCCTTTTCAAAAGGCGTTATTACGCCTTTTATAACGCCTTTTAATTTTTTTTTGTTACCGTAGTTTGATCCTAATAGGCTATCGTACAATACAGCCCCACCCTGACACCAGAACCCCTTACTCAGGGGCCACCAATTTCACAAATTTGGAAGAGGCATTCTTCCTCAACAAAATCCATGGGAGATGAAAATATTCAGATGTTAACGCATGACGGACGACGACGGACAAAAACTGATAGCAATAGGTGCCGGAGTAACTTTTTTTTTGTATATAGATAATTACTTTCTTCCTATTATTCAACACATTACCAATTTATGCACCCTCTTACAAGGAGTTTTTGACAAGACTTGCCTTCTTTTTCTTTTTTTGTTTAATTATCCATAATGCTCCCATTTGTTTCAATTTCAACCAGTTACCTGAACGACCCACATTTCTTGTAAATAATTGAAAAATTAATTCATCTAAATGAAATCGTTTCAGTAATAAAATGTGAAGTTGACAAAGTAATCATGTTTAAAACTCCAACATAACATTTCAGATTAAGAACAGAGCAAAGACGGACGCCTGAAAACATTAGAGGTGGGTCAGGTTCCATGGAGGAGCAAACATCCTCCTCGACCGCGGTCACACCCGCCGTCAGTCCTTTGTCTTGATCGATGAAAATGGCCAAATGATTTGTATTATCATTCAACGTTCTTGACCTTTAATATGTAATATTATTATGTAGTCGGAAAATAGCTCTTCAGAGCTAATGTTTTCCATTTGATTTACCCGACTTTAAATAAATATTATATTATCTTATCTTTATACTTAACAACAGGTTGCATTTGCAAATGAGGTCATTGTATAAACCGACCAAAGATTTTGCAGATTGTTGACTTCAGACGAGATTAATACCTATGTAACTTCAACTAATTTGTCAGTAGCCTGTTTCGGTTAAGAAATGTAGCGTAAGCAGAACAAGCCCTTGCTCTTTGATTTTTAAAAATGAATTTTAGGATCATTATATATCTGACTTATTTGATGTTTAACAGATTTGTTATCTGAAGAATTTAATGAGAGAGAGAGAGAGAGAGAGAGAGGGGTGGGGGGATTCTTTTCAGCAGATATGTGCCCATAAGAAATTTTCATGATATACCCAATTACCCAAGGTAAATACACATCATATAAAGTAATTTCTAGAAAATGTGCGACAGGAATAACAAAAATGTGACACATCAGACCAACATTCGAACCAAGGCCTCCTGAACTCCAGACAGGTGCTCTATAAAATTAGCTATCTGGTCACTGACATTTAAAACTGCGTGACTACAGCACCCCCCCCCCCCTTTTCAACCGTCTTCCCTACAAAACCGATCCCCAACTCGTTAATTCTAAGGCATGGTCAAAGCTCTAAACTTAAGAAAAATGTGAAAGAGTAGCTCAGTGCTAACCAGGGTTCCCTGAACTTTACAAAAATGGTTACAACTGATGCCCTCCATGTTATGCATCCGATTGGCCGCGCCACATTATGTATCATTGCTAAACGCCACATACTTTGAAATGGTGACACAAGCTTTTTCAATGCCAAGTGGAGACGTCAAATCTTTTTATAGTTGCATCTATACACTATTGACCAAAGACTTGAAAGCTACACTATGAAAACATGGGTGTAAAACAGACAGTGAAATCTAACCAGACGTGAAGAGTCCTTAAATCCTTTAATTTCTTTTTAAAACAAAACAAAACAACCCATATTTCTGTCTTAATTTATTACGTATCCCTTTGCCATTTGGTTTAAAAACCGGCAAGGAATAAATTCTGAATGACAGTTTTTGTTTTCAAGCCATTAGTCAAAAAGCCCAAAGCCCATGTCATCGTCGGATTCCGACTCTGGCTCTGGTTTCTTCTCCTCTTTGGTGGCTGCAGGAGCAGCAGCGGCGGCGGCCACAGGGGCAGCAGCCGCAAACTTGCTGGGATCCTTCAAGTACTCCTTGGTCTGAAAAGTGACAACAAATTTTCAAACCTATCACATTCTGGTATACAGAATTCACACAATACACATCATCACCTACACAGCTGAACTGATAGTATCAGATGTAACTAGGGATTGTATTAATGTTATTCAGAATAAATTCAAATAAAACATCACCTTTTCAGCCTCAGGGAAAGTGTAGTCAGTTTCCACAGCAATGGCAAGGAGTCTCTTAAATCCGTTGGCAATAGAGTGGGGGGCAGAGGCAGCCGTTGGGTACCCAATGACAAGGGAGAGGGCTGCAATATTTCTCACTCCCTAAAACAGAAAGGTTAATTTCCGAATCGTATTAGTTACAAATGACTGGTTTATATAAAGCAAATGATTGCAAAAATTCAACAACAAAAAAACTTTTAAAAGTTATGAAATAATTTGACTCACAATCATGAATTTGTCTCTCAGATCCTCATCAGTAATGTCCAGAATCTCAGGCTCAAAAATGGTACCAGAGTCATACACTGTTAAAGAAAGAGTAGTCTTAAATTGATCGTTTCAGAGTAAATGGGATCAAAAATCTGATGTAAAGAGCAAACTCAAAAATTTTGTATAAAAGCCAACATTCATCAGATGTCAAGAATTTTCTCAAGTCCTCAGACAGCCATCACTGGCAGTTTCTTGGTCTTAGTCCAGGACAAGCATCAGTGGGTTCAACCATTTCTGGTTCTGATACTTTGGTGTCCTAAACTCACAACAGACAATTTGTTCATCACAGAACAAAGAAAACTCTGACATACATGTAATTTTATGAGAACAGTTTGATAATCAATATATTGAATCTATAAATTCATTATTGCCATAAATTTGCCATATTTATAGTACATACAGTCAGAAACTTAGAAATTGCCTTGTTTTAAGAATACAGTGAAACCTCGTTATCTTGAACTCGAAGGGACCAAGAAAATACTTCAAGATAACCAAGGATTTGAGATATCCAGGGTAAAATACTTAAGGAATAAGCAGATGGGACTTCAAAATCACATTGACATATCCATGGTATTCGAAATATCCATGTTGGAGATACCAAAGTTTAACTGTATCTTGTAGATAAAGGACTTGAATATGGTCAAAACTGAAGCCAAATGAAGAACCAACCATCAAAATACTTTCATGATCACAGATGGTTTTTCCCTCCAACAGGAGAGAAAATACAGTCCAGACAATGATTTTACACCGAGATCTTCTATTATCTTGACCTTTGACCTAAGAAATTTGTTCAACGTCACTGCAATCCTCTACCCACAGGCACTCTGGGTGAAGTATGGGTGAGAATGGGCCGAGGGGAGAGTTAATTTGCTTTTGACAAAGATTGTTTTTTTAATATAACCTTTGATCTAGAAACTTGGTTAATGGTCACACCCCTCTATCTATGAGCACTCTATGGGGTGAAGTACAAGCCAGTTTGGGCCACAAGAGGAGAAAATTTAGTCGGGACAAGCGAGTTTTGGATCGACAGATTGGTCACTATCTGAGCACCTTCTCTACCAAAATCTTAACACTGCACTTCAATCAGTATTAACTTGGTCAGAAACACTGCTTTATACATTGCACAGATTTTCAACATGCAATGCAACAAAGAGTTACTGTTTCACTGCATGTTGAAAATATGAGTCAATAACATTGTAGGACCTGGGATAATCAAATGACCTGTAAAATTATCAAGATCAATTTTTGTTTTTCTTGGTAACATACTTTTATCTACATAGGATACTCATGGTTTCAGCAAGTTATGTTTCAGGTTACTAAATAATGTTCATCCTCAGACAGCCATAACTGGCAGTTTCTTGGTCTTAGTCCAAGACAAGCATCAGTGGGTTCAACCATTTCTGGTTCTGATACTTTGGTGTCCTGAACTCACAACAGGTTGAAGATTCATCCTTGGATAGAACACTGAATCATTCACATCTACAAAAACACACTGCATTGTATCGACATATACCTTTCTCAAGGACAAGTCCGTAAGAAAATGGAGAGATGTTCAACATGTTCAGGAGAGTGGACTCAGATGACCCTACCCTGTCACCAGCCTTGATTAGATGCACTTCATTCTACAAAGTTTAAGATAAACATGTATCAATCTTACAGAAGTAGTAACTCCCACTTCTAACTTTTAATGAAAATTTATAATATCAAGTGCCAGTTCTAGCATTTAGGTTAGGACCAGCAGTCATTAGATTTTTAGCATAACTCATTAGACCACCGAGTCTTATGCTTCATACTTACAAGTTACATGTTTAAGTATCTTAGTATTTCATGAATCTCGGACAGAAAAATATAAATTTTACAAGATCAAACTTTACAAAACTTCAATAAAATCCTAGTCAGTCAGTGGTAACTTACCCACATGGCTTACAGTTAAACTGAAATTAAGGTATACTGACCAAGATTTCAATGCATCCTCTTGTAATCTTGGTGGGGATCTGCAGAGCTTGGAAGAAGGAGGTCTTCTCAGGTCCCAGTGTGGTGGCTTGAGCCGGCACCTTAACATCCAGGGGAGCTAGAGCACCTGCCTTAGCTGGAGCTTTCACCTAAAACAGTCAGTACATTTGGATTAGACAAGTAAGGAGGAATTTCTGAAAACTGCTCAAAAGTAGGGGAGTGCATTACATTAGCGGAAAACACACACAACATAATGGTATAACATGTATACTGTATGAAGTTCTTGAGCATGATTTTGTTCGAGCCTGTTACACAGAATTAATTTCTATTTACCTTGTTGGATAAGAGAACGTCTCTGGTCTCAACCAAGTCACCCTTCAAAAACACAAACCCTACATTGTTCTTGATGTGGGGCAGGAGTCTAAAAAAAATGGTAAAACCATTACTAAACACCAATTCTTAAATATACTTTTTCAAAAAAAATTTGCTGGCTTACTTGTAAAACACTTTTTATTCATATTTTAATATAAAAGACTCCCTGCTTACTTTTCAAGAAGTGGATTCTTCTCAATGTGGCCTCTGATGGCCTTCCTCATCATGGTATTCTTCCCCATCAACACAACTGAAGAAGAATTATTATGGGAGTAAAATTAAAAATGTTCTAGAAGTATTACGTGTAACAGCTGCAATTACCTCTCCAAATAATGATTTTTTTCATGACTCTTTATCTGGAATGACCAATACTTCTACTTTATCCAAAATGTTAAGCAATGATTTTTTTTAAAAATTCAAAATATTTTTTTTAAAGAGGTGAAATGATATGCCTCCTTCACGATACAATATGTATTGCAATTCTGTCATGGTATGATCATATTGGATACATTTTGACTAAAGGAAAGAAATTCAAAGTTGTCTATTGTCTTGTTTCATTTGTTTAATTTAAGGGGAAGAAGGACCTTTAGCTGAAAAAATACTTGTCATTTAATTTTTTTTATATTTTGTATATTTCTTATTAAGTATGTCCCACATATCTTAAAGCAGTTATATCATTAGGTTTCTTATTTTAGAGATATTGATTGACAAATATTATGCCCTACAGTATCTAAGTGGAGTTTTAATTCTCCATGTTTTCGGGCTCATTACTCTGTCCATAATTGGATTTTTAAAGCATATATAAAAAATATGTAAGTGAACATGTATCTTTTAAAATATTTCAGAGTATAAATTGGGTTTAAAATTCGAAAAGGCAAGTTTCATATATCACACTGCATCTGGATAGGGAAAATTACGAACTTTTTAAGACAACTTAAACAACAAAAAACGTAATTTACAAAAAATCCTATCATTCAATATTTTTAAATTTACGTTGAAATGCAAGTCCTTCAAATTATTGATTAACTGTAAAAATTTCGAATGGTGAAGCTGACCTCAATATTGCACAGCACATCGTTAAAGACGACATAAGCAGGACAAAAACTTGCCATGTTTACATTTCTCGAGTACGGGAAAAACCAACTATGACGTCACACGTAAGCTAAATAAGCGAAATAAGATATACCTACATAAGATTTCCGTCATCAGCCATGCAAAAATAATTTCTGTTTTCCCCGTTTCTCAAAATACTTCATCATATACTGATTTTGACCTGTTTTTACATAATAATACCGCCCTTGTATTCACCGAGTATGATCTTGCTGTACTAGCAGATCGTGTATGACGTCACCGACTTGTTGGACGCGCAGTTTAAAAAAAACAGAGGAGTGGATCAATCTTTTTTCATAATTTGTTAATGTTTGCAAGAATGTTAAACTTTTTATTTTTTTTAATATAAGATGGTAATTAAAGAAAAAAAATTGTCAAAAATTTATACAGGAACTGATGCTTTACACGTTTTGCACTTATATAAATGGAGACTATGACGTAGTTCAACGATGTCATGTGACCATGTGTCCTTCATCCCCTTAAGTGCAAATTGACTACAAAAGATTGACTAGAATGAATTGACTGTTAATGATTCTCAGGGTTTGACATTAACTTTCATGATACTATACCAGTCAGGCTACCAACCATAATTTTTATTAGCCCTGATTGTTAAATCATTTACCCTGACTAAACTTGCAAACTTGCTTCTCATAACTTGCTAATTTTAATCATTTAACTTTTGAAACCATACTATAATAAAGACATCGTCTCTGTTGAATGTGTCAAGATTTTGATAGACTGTTTAATAGGTCGCGGCCAATTGAATTGGGTTAATCAGAACATGCAAATATTATCAAAGATAAAGAACATTCAATGAACTTAAATAAAATAATATTACCCTAATTGTTAATGAACTAATTAATGAATACTTTATTTGATAACTATTTATAGCATTTGATACTGAACAAAGTTAGTTTTGACTTCAACTTTAGCCATGGTTAAAAATACCTATTGCATCATGCATGGAATTTTTCCATCACAAGAGTGATGACTGTGGAATGATGACTTTGTATAGAGACATTTATGTCTCTGAAGTGTATAAAAATTTTCTTCAGAAGTTTTTTGAATATTTATTTGAAAGACTGAAATGAGGATTTACATTTTTTTTATCCACATGATTAGTCGGCCAAGTTCACATACAACTTACATGACTGGACTACTCATTAGGGGTGAAACGATACACCTCCTTCACGGTTCGATACGTATTGTATAATTTTGTCTCGGTTCGGTTATTTTCGATACGATACATTTTGATAGAAGGAAACAAATTCTACGTTGTTTTATGCTTTCTTTTTCTAAATCTAGTCACATATTTTACGAATTTTATTTGCAAATTGACTAGAAGAAATTGACTAAAATTATTTGACTGTCAAAAATTATTCTACAAGCTATCAGTCATCAAAAATTTACGTTTTCTATACTTATTTATACTGAGTAACGTGTTATACCTTATGCCAAACCCGACTGAATAACGATCCCGACCGAAAAATGAACCTAACCGAAAATTTGAGATTTTGCACCGTGTATCAAACCGAGAAAAAATACCGCGGTGCATCGATACCGCGGTGAACCGTTTCACTCCTACTACTCATTTACTAGACTGGGTCATTCGGATGTGCCGAGGGGTGAAACGATACACTTTCTTCACAGTTTGATAAGTATTGTATAATTTTGTCTCGGTGCGGTTATTTTTGATACATTTTGATAGAAGGAAACAAATTGAACGTTGTTTTATGCTTTCTTTCATTAAGAACCCTCTCTACACTGCACACTAAAGAGTTCTGATTCTATGGTATTTTTCTGCAGTTAGAGTGATCTGCCCTTAGATTCAAATTCCAATAAATAGAAATTTACAGTATATTACTCAATTTGTAATCAATTCAAGTATTCTTAACATTTTAAAAGGCCAAGATAAATTAATTGAACACATTTTTTACATGTATTTTCTCCATGGAAGTAAACAACAGCGATTTCTGTTCCTGATACTGTGTTGTGTTTGAACATTTTTCCTGGGGGTAAATGCCACGTACCATATATTGAAAATTAAATATATAAGCTCAATATTTACACCTTTATTCAATATTATTTTCTCAATGTCCAAAAAACATTTTGCACTAGTGTAGAGAGGGTCCTTAAATCTAGTCACTTACTTTACAAATTTTATTTGCAAATTGACTAGAAAAAATTGATTAGAATTACTTGACTGTCAAAAATTATTTTACAACCTATCGGTCCTCAAAAATTTCCGTTCTGTATACTTACTTATGCTGAGTAACGTGTTTTATCTTATGCCAAACCCGACTGAATGACGATCCTGACCGAAAAATGAACTGAACCGAAAATTAGAGATTTTGCACTGTGTATCAAACCGAGAAAAAATACCGAGGTGAATCGATACCGCGATGAACCGTTTCACTCCTAGATGTGCCTAAGTGTCAAACCCAGATTTTTCTTTTAAACTCTTAGTCTTCAAGAATCATGTTTTTAAACTTTATTCATGACACGTAGCTTTTTTTTTGATGAATGCTAAACATGACTGAACAATGATCCCGATCAAAAACAAGAACAGAACTGAAAATGGAAATTTTGTAACGGGTATCAAACCAACAAAAAGACATTGCAATGAATCGATACCGGGGTGAACCGTTTCACTTCTATTTTTATTATTAGAAGTTGACATTAGTTTAATGTACCTATTTTTTTTTTATTAGAACCTTGACATTAGTTTAATGTAATTAATGCCTTACCAGCTTTTCCTCTCAGTGCCTGACGAATTTGCTGCATCTGTTTGGATCCCACATTGTCAGCATTCACAATGAAAGCCTTTGGGTATTCATCTAACAGGCTCTATAAAGCAGGGCAATTTTTATTTCAAAACATTCTTTTAAGAAATAAAATTTTATAAATAAATTATATAATTCATTTTTAATACTCAAGAAGTCATCTGCATTGAAAACACATCTTAATCACAAAAATTATCATCCAAAATTCATGCTCTTATAGCAGACTAATTCCACTCTTTCATAAACCATCTCATGCACACACTCAATAAAATATTGTGAAAAAAGAAGATACAAAACATTAAGAATACAGCAAATATTTGATCAGAGTTGATCAATATTCTGAACCTATCACTTACAAAGTTAACAATCTACACTGTATATATTAAGTATTACACATGAATTTAACAGGGTTTCAGATTGAAATAAGTAACTATAGGACACCTGGCATATTTACCAGAAAAGTTATAAGCCATACTGTCCTAAACCTCCTAAAATTATAGGCCAATTCATAGTTAGAATAATCTGTGTCTCTGGACAGGTAGGGACCGTAGGACGTATATTATTATAACAATAGAACATTCTATCTAGCCAACTAATAGTCAAAAATATACAATTCTTTTAACAATTCTTTCACCGCATAATTAAATGAAGTCTGGTAAATTTAATTATGCGGTGAAAGAATTGTTAAAAGAATAAAATACTGAACAAGTGTAACTCAATCGTATTTATTTTATTTGGAAAAAATTGTGCTTTTTTTTACATTTTAAAGTCATGTTTTACCTGATTCTCATTAAGTGATGCTACTTAATTATCATCTTGCCCGTTCTCTCAAGCCATGCGCAGACCAAACTCCACTCCTAGCTCTCTACTACCCGAGGCCAAAGAGAGGATCATACATTTTGCCTGTGCTTGGAAACTTTGCATCATACCTAAGGTTAAAGCTAAGCCACATACTCCGAAATCTTCGCATCTCTTTCGGTGTGATTTTCTCCGTTTATTAAACATTATTTTAATTTTTGATTCTTCAGTTCCATTGACATCATTCAAATGAGAACTAATTTCTAAATCAAAGAATTTAATGCCCCACAAATATCACATTCCACGAGAAGTTTATTCATCAGCGGTGCATGTGCTTGTCCAGTACTCCATGTTAATATTGGTAAGGGAGCGTATCAGCAGCAAGAAATAGCATGAAGTGATCTGGTGATCAAGATCTAATACCCGACTGTCATTGGCTGATGAAATCTGCAGTTGCAGAAAGTAGTAATAGAAAATTAATAGGATCTGAATGGAAATAAATAATTTGACTGGCTTTTACATGCAGAATTTAATCGGCTATTATGTCTGTTCATGCAGCGTTAAACTTATAGTCCATTTCGGCAGATAAATTTTCATTTTTCCTGCCATTTTGAATTTTTATCAGCAAATGGCTGATGGCAATCTGAAACCCTGATTTAAGACAAAGTTTAGCAGAAATCACGTTTACTAGGTGTTTATTGGAATAGCCGATGTTCCCACCTAAAAGCTAACTCTACCAACTTACTGAAATTTTCAAGAAATAGTTGGACTTCCATGTTGGTTTGTCTTCCTTGACCATCTTGCTGTGGTACAGGGATCGGCTTATGCAGTTTTAAAGACAAACCTGTCAGAAAAGAAAAATTAGTCTAGGTGCATTGCTTTAAGCATCACAAACATCACCCATTATTTATAAGTAAATGCTTGCACTTCGGTCTATCAAAATAACTCTATCCAAACAGTTACATTTTCTCTTCTTTTTTGTTACACAAGGTAAACTTTTTTATGTCCCAGAATGACTGCAGTGTTGCACCAGGGACGTACAGTCATTTAGGGTATTCCGAATCACCTTTTACATTTTGACTGCAAACGATTTTATTTACAATTTATAAATGGTTATTTGGTATTAAAGGAAAGCCAATTCTATGAAAAATCAGATCTGCATTACAGGGCGAGTCTATCTTCGATACAGCAGCCTTGACGAGGGTTATATTTAATCACCTTTATTGTGTATTGCGGGTCACTTACAGGTATTTCTAATCACCAAATAAATGGCTAAACAACGGTCAGATAACAACATTATAATTAATGAATTAGTTGGTATTGTTTATCAAAAGCCTAAAAAAAAAAAAGAAATAAAAAGAATTATTCTCTTGTTGATTGTTCTTGCTTATTTATTAAGTTATTAAAGCTCCCCCCCCCCCTTTAGTCACACTATAAAACAGCATTCTCAGAGGCAGATCATGGCAGAAAAGCAAATACTAGTGATGGGAATCGGTAAGAATTTCACAATCGAGATCGGGTTACTGTAACTAATTAATTATCGATTATAATCAGACATTTCCAATTTCTTTTAATTTATTTAAATAAATGGTAAGAATGGGTAAATGACTACTTTTTGTGGTGGTCCAGCAGGTCCTTCGTTCATTTTGTAGAACTAGAACCCATAATACATCCATATCCAGGATGCTTTGTTACCAGGGTATGCAGAGTTTTTGAAATCCACCAGTCTCACCGGCAAAACTGGTAAAAATTTCAAAAGTCCAGTAATTTTCTCCATGTAATCGGTCTGAGCAACCGGTAAAAAAAATTCCGGAATATAACCTCTTAACCATGTTAACCTGTGGATATTTAGTTTTATTTGTGAGATTGTCAAAACTGCGTGTATGATAGAATAAACTTTGCTTTTAAGACAGTTAGTTTTTCACAAAATGGCGGCGCCATGGCCTAATAAATTTGGTAAAAGAAAATCAGACCCATTCAAATTACCCCTAGGTGAATTTTTTTCTGCCATAGGTTATCTGTATTTATTCAATCAATTGATTCAATTTATACAAAAAATGTTAATTGTCTAACTAGCTTTATTTGGGATATAACATATGTCAACCTAATCATCATTTCCCTTAAATATAAAGAGTAATCATTATTGTTACATCAAGCATTTCCCCCCACAACATTTAGAAGTTTGTTTTCTGCGCTAGACAGCCATGTTTGGTGTCCACTGTAAATATCACACCTGGTTAATTCAGTCCGGGAATGTTTGACTCTATTATTCATTATCAAAAAAAAAAAAAAAATTCTTCGACCTACACACCCTTGATTCTTTTTTTTTTTTTTGAATGTTAAAGGAAACAAACATAATTTTTTTTTAAGCCTTACTGGAATTAAAACAATTTCTCAGATTTTTTATTATTTTTTTTTTTTACGTATCTAAGCATGTATGCTGATGGACCAGTGAATATTTTTTTTATTTCAACAACTCTGGTTACGGATACAATTCTGCACTATTACGATACACAAATAAAGTAACCGATAAGTCGGGGCTGGAATATTTGGCTTGAAAACTATAATGCATTTGAAATAAAAAATAAACCGATTAATTGAAATAAAAATTTTGTAATCGAGTGCTTGGATTATGCCAGCAATCGACTGATTTTCGATTATATACTAGCAAATACCAACAAAATAATAGTTTCAGAAATTACTTGACTGTAAATTGTTGTCCTGTAAATATAGTTAAGTAATTTTCTTTACCCATGTGAATTTTTTTTTCAATGCAAAACAATTAACATTGAACATGTAATACTTATAAATATGTTAATCATAATTCTACGAGTAGGCTACCAAAAAAAAATTATAATAATGGTGATAAAAAAAAATGTATGAAAAGGAATTAAACCAACTCATGTTTAGATATCACAACTATCAAGTATGAATAAATCATTGCATAACTTGTAAGTACTTGTATACATATACACGTATATGTACACATGCATGTGTCCGTAGGATCAACACTGATCAAGTGTATACTGGACCCGGGCTAGTCTTCTTTGCTCTTGCTTTGTCAAATCATTACTTTTATACCCCTTGCATTTAAAAAAACAATGTTATAAAAAATATCTGACATATAACAAGTGTGTAGTGTGTGCAATTTATTTGGCTGAGGTCATGTACACACATAGTTCAAAATACCCCAAAACTGTAGGGGGCTACAAGTGCGGCCAGAACTAATATATATCTGAGGTGTTACCAAAAACAATTAGTTCTCACAGAAGCAGATAGCTTATAAAATTGCCGTTGTATCAATACCTAATATGCCATGTTTCATCCACCAACAACGCTATGACATCGATGAGAAATATCGTGCAATGTTACTACACGGGTATTTTCTTCGAAAAGGATAACAAGTTAATGAATTAAATTATCAACTTTTCAATTAACGCATTCATGTTTACCTCTTTATTTTTTGTATGTAATAAGTATACACCTTGCTGATAATGACTGGTTGTCACACGTGTGCATATATCGTGCGAGGTGCAGCAGTAATGTAAATACAGAGAGTAGCGATGTGCGGGGTGAATGAATGACTGTAGTATACATAAGTAGCTAATATAGTAGCTATTCCAGTTAACACCATTTTTTGCAAAGTTAGATAACTCGTGTTTGTGACCTGGCGACCATCAATGTTCGAATTTGTTATGTGAAGTAAACAATGATACTAAATTGAATATTCTGATCTATCTGTAAGGACAGTTGACAATTAAAGATTACGCAAGTAGCTATTTTGTTTTCCGATATAATCTTATGTTTTAGATAGAAAAAAATTATTTTGATAAGTATATTTTGATGAAGATGTATGTTGAATATGAAGCATAGCATGTACACTATTTTCCAGATTGTCTTTACGTTTTTAGTGTTAGCACAAAGTTGCTACTTTCTAAAGATTTTAAACATTATTTAAGATTTTTTCATGCCTAAACGAAGTCCCCAACATGTAGCACAAAAGTGCACAGACTTTTGTAAAATTTTGTCTTCATCGGGATCAGAGACATAGTTGGTATTTCATTATTTGAAGAAAATAAAGTGCTGACAGCTCAAAATACCTATAAATATAAGGAAATTTTTGCAATTTAAAATACATTTCTTAATTTTTCCAACTTGAAAATTATTCAAACGCTAAATTCAGTCATCTATATTTTGCTTAATTTCAATCGCGCTCGAAATGCTTCTGATAGTTATCTTCACTGATTTGCTCTCCTGGGTCACAGACGTTGTCAGTGTTTGGGTATTTTGGGGCATCAATATTTAATTTATTGTGTGAAATTCCTTAAAAAGAATGCTTATTCTTTTCATTCTATGGGCTTAACTTCCTAGAAATCAAAGATTTGCATTGAAATTCCTCTTTTTAATTTTTAGGTGGATTAGCTAAATATAGGCCCCTAGGTGCACTTTAAAAATATGCTTTCAAATCGTTTTACTCGTCATTAGATAAATGATCCAAACTATAATAATTTTGAAAAGATGTGCCTACGAACTGCATATGATAAATCTAAATATACTTGTGCATTAGAAAATTTGAAATCGATTTTTGTATCCCCCCTTCCACCCCTGTAAAGCAATGGGAACTGTACTACGCCTCCGTAAGTGCAAGGCCTTAACAATCAACGTGAGAATTAATTACATTTCCTAAGTCAATATTCTTAACTTCTTCTTTGAAGATTTAATGATATCGTCAGTTCTACAATACGCTGAAAAATATCAGTGACCCCCCCCCCCCCTTTCACACTGTTGGCTTCCCTAAAGTAAGCTGTTGTGGTTGACCAGAACTTCAAATTAGATAAATAAAATTAAGACAATTATTTTGGCTGTAAAAATCCTCAAGAAAAGGTAAACAAGTTAAGATAATGATATCCTTTTTCTGGAGCACGTTTTCCACATGCCTTACCGGAAACGTGTTCAGTGTTAGAGAAAGAACACGTGATCTCGACAAACCTACGTAAGCAAATGGGAAGATAACTCTAAATTTTAATGTGGCCCAACGCACTAAAATCTCTAAAAGTGTCGATTTCAAAAGTGAGAGACTGATACCAGCTCACAATTAATAATAATTTATGTAAAATTTTTGGTGTTTTTTCCCCCCGAAGAAAATGGAAATTATGCTTTCGCAGCAAAACGTCAAGAAAAGTCAGGTTTAACCTCTTTTTTTTTTAATGAAAAAAAAAAAAAAATTAATATGATAAAAAAAAATATTCTTTGTTAATATTTTTTAGTAAAGGGATAAAATCTTCAACAAACCTTGTCATCCATTAAAAAGAAATATAAGAAAATGATATTCTATAAAGAAAATTATCATAATGATAATGCGAAATTCAAGAAAAAATGTTAATTTTCATTTATTTTTATTTTTTTTTTTAAATAATGTATCAATTTTGGCCGGGATTAGTTTACTTTCAATCGGAATTGATTCAATTTTAGTTATTTCTTTAATTTCATACGGCTTTATTTCTTTTGAAATATTATTGTTTTATATTTCTCTTCTGTAAGTGACATATTTTTTGAAGATTTTATCCATAACTATGACGGACCCAGGATTCTTGAAAAGGGGGGAGGGGCAACCAGTTTGGGGTCGGGGTAGGGGCCCAGGGGTATAAGCCTTGACAGAATTCACCATATTACTTGAAAGATCTGGGTCCCTAGATTTTGCCCATTTTAAAAATGAGTGATTAATGTCCTTTCTTGTTAACTATACTCATATCACTAGTAACACGTGTCCAGCAGTATTATAGTTGTAGGGAGAAGAAGAACATGGAAACGTAAGAGGATTTTGTTTCAGATGGCCCCAATCAAGACACTATAGAAAATGTTTGTAATTAAAAAAAATTTGGAAGCAATAGCAATAGAATATTTTTTTAGAAATACAAGATACAACCGACCCAGCATCTGCTGTTTGATGTGAAATCAGTATTTTCTCCATAAAACATTTAAAGAATAATTTTGATTAAGTACATTATTTCATACATATACGCCTGAATATCAGACAGCTATTGAATAGATTTGTTCGATTTTTTGGTAGACGATAAAAATAATTGAGAATAGGAAAAGAAACTATATAAAAAAAATTTTTATAGGTTTTTTGACATTTTAAACAATTTTACTTCGGACAAGTCATGTTCAAAATCACGCAAGACTCCATCACTTGATTCAACGGAAAAACGCGTTCTCATATGTTGTATAAGTAGATCGTTTCATCGAGCACCTCAAAAATGTAAATTGGGTCGCTCCGTCTCCAAAAGTAAGCATAACTTGTCTTTCAGTTGCTCACTCACTGTTTACGAGGTTCTAATGTGGTACCTGTAACAACCCATCAATACAACAGGTATATCTTTCAAATATGAGTTTTTAACGGTACTTGAGACGAAGATCTTCTTTTGCTATGAAGGTAAAATGAACGGTCTGATTGTTGGTAGAAGGATTTTTAAAGTACAGGTCCACGTAAGAATCAGGCAGCATATGTATAAAGGGAGATACATGGTGGTTCTCAGAAATTAATGATTTTTTCACTCACAGAGTTCTGTTAGGCTATAAGCCATGTACATGGAAGGAAAAATATTATGAGCCATTGTTACTATGGAAACCTGGCCAAAGAAATTTCCCTAGCAACCGACCAATTTTTCTTTTCTGGATTGATGAAATTTCACCAATTTTTAAGGCTTTATATGAAATGTAAATAAAGAGATTTTTTTCCTTTTTTAGTGTAATAAAAAAGTCAAATTTTTAACGTGTTCTACCAATGTAACACAAAGAAACTACATACTTAGATACTTTTGCTATAGACAAGGCAGATATACATGTTTCCCATTTTTTTGCTGATTCAAATACACTGCCTTGGATGACAGCAGAAAGTAATCCAGACGTAAAGGGAAGTTGACACGATTAGAGCTGTCATTGATAAATTATAGATTCTATATATAGATTTGTCGCCGATTTAAATTGTTTTGTTGCAATATTGATACATATTTTGGGTATCGATACATTTCTCGTTGTTTCAACACAACAAAACATTCAGTTTTTATCTTTTGTTTTGTCTGGTTTTACAGTGTCACTTATGCACATGGATCTCTGTAGTGACAGTACAATGAGTTCATATTCCTCTTTTTAAAATTCATCTTTAATCTTGGTCACCTTATAGTTCATTGTTAGAGTTGTTCAAATGCACACTATTTCCTGGGCAGTGTTTCATAATTAAATTTTTAATAAAATTAAATGGGAAAAAATATATAACAACAAAATACCTTAATACCAATTGACTATCAGTATTGTATATTTTTTGGAAAGAATTTGTAGAAAAAAAGTTGTTATTAATATGTCGATACCTTTTGAGGACTCAATAATTGATATAAAATGTTTTATCATTTAAAGCTCTAACGATTTTTAGCATTTTATGTAGAATCTCTAATGCAAAATATAATAGTGGAAAAATAGTGCAATTTTTCAACACTTATTCCTTTATTTATTACTTTACTTACTTTCAGTGAAAAGAAATCTGTTTTTTGCAATGAATACATATATTTATCTGTATGTGTATTGGTCAGTATTGCACAATTTGATAAATGCTTGTTACACGCTTTGTTTATTACACCTTAATCCGAACAGAGAACCAAAATCTGTAAGAAAAGGCAATTAATTTCAGCAAAAACATTACACCTAATTGCAAAACATGTATTTATCGTTCAACAGAATAAATGACTACGGAAGCCCGTTGAGGCCAGTTCAGAGAAATTTGTTTTGTTTTGTTTGATTATTGTTTAACGTCCCTCTCGAGAATTTTTCACTCATATGGAGACGCCACCGCTTGCCGGTGGAGAGCTACAAATTTTTTTTACCCATACTCGCACTCAGGGCCATTGAGCAGTGAGGGATCTTTTTCGTGCCAACACCTACTGCGACACGGGACCTGAGTTTATATGGTCTCATCCGAAGGACCGGTCTCCACGTCCCACAGTGGGATTCGAACCCGTGACGTAAGGATCAACTCCTTACTTCGCGACTCTAGAGCAGACGCTCTAACTATTGTGCCACGCGGGCGACCAGTTCAGAGAAATAAATATTTTTTATTGCGTTTAAACGCAAAAATATTATTGTGTTAAACCGCAAAAAAGTATTGCGTTTAATCGCAAAAGATTGCGTTTCACCGCTAGACAACACACAATTTCCTAATAAAGAGAAATAACTAAAAGACATCAGTATTCGTGGGTCTATTGTACTCTGATAGGTTTGATACAAATGATTGCCTTTAAACATAAAGATTATTGCATTTAAACGCAAAGATTGTTGCGTTTAAACGCAAAATTTTTGCGTTTAATCGCAAAAATTATTGCGTTTAAACGCAAAAGATTGCGTTTAATCACAATCTTTTGCGATTAAATGCAATGATTATTGCAATTAAACGCAATGTTTTGCGTTTAAACGCAATAATTATTGCGTTTAAACGCGATAAAAATATTTCTTTCTCTGAACTGGCCTCAACGGGCTTCCGTAAATAACAGTGTAGTGAAATTCCTTTGATCGAGTTAATAATTATATAATCAGGGTTAAATTTAGTCTTAGCGATCAGAAGTTATCTCCTATGTCCAGGCATTGTTTCAAACGTTTAGAAGAACAAGATCTGACTCAGCAGATCTTGATAAAGTATATAAGCGGGCTCATTCAAGTCTCGGTGTTCATTTATTGAGAAGCCGTAGAAGAAGAAGGACGTGTTACGGACAAGGTAAGGTATTTGTGTTAGCTCATTTGCGGTGTATCAAACTGCTGCATACGGACCATTTGAGCTACATGAATCCTTACAGGTTACTAAATCAGAGTAAATTACTATATTATAAACGGGTGTTTGAATCCCGGTGTTCGAAACTATAGGTCTGGGAGCTAGTGCTCAAACATAGTGTCAGACCAGGGGATTAGTACGTAGACTAGGAGATAACAAGTTAAGGAAAATTAAAACAAAATAGAGAATCAGTTTAAATCATAGTGTTGTTGATTATTATTGATTGTGTTTGTTATTATATTGAATCCAATCAGCTGAATACGTCAAGTAACGTAAAGGAAAATTCTTTATCTATACTTCATCCGTGGTCGAACCCACAAAATACATAACAAATTTTTGGTGGCAGCGGTGGGATAAACCCACTTGTGATTTTTATATTAAGAACAATTATTTGTTAAAGAACTTTGTCTCAGAAACATTAGTTTTAGGTCTTAAACCATGGATGACGTTGACAAAGAGATAAGTTATCTTGAAGAGAAAATTAAAGAGTTCTCAAATGAGAGTATGCGTTTGAGAGAAAAAGAGAGACAGAAAGCCTCAACACCAATAACAAATAGAGATTCTGGCATTGGTGCCTCGGAACAAGTGAGTTCTGAACCAAGACAAGAGTTTGGAGGAGCTAAACCTAAAGTAAAGCTTGAGGCCGAGGCTGAAACTGATTTTGACTACATCAGTGATAGAACACGTAGACCAGCTTCAGACCATGCGCTATATTTTGAAACACCTAGAAATGTTCCAAGCAATGTTACAACACGCAGGTTTAGAGACAATAGATTTGAAGCACATGATGTTCGGGACCGCGTGGGAAAAGACCAAAAGTCCAGTAAGCTGAAACCCGCAACTTATGATGGATCGTCGTCGTGGTTGGACTATAAGTCGCATTTCAATGCATGCGCTTGCTTGAACCACTGGTCTGAAGAAGAGAAGGGGATGTATCTGGCCGTGTCCTTAAGAGGTCTAGCCCAAGGTGTGCTTGGAAACTTACCAGAATATCTGCAAATGGATTTTAAAGAGTTGTCCAAGTCCCCGGAAGAACGTTTTTCTCCAGCTAATCAGATGGAACTGTATAGGGCGCAACTTAGGGAGAGACGACAAAAAGCGTCAGAAACAATACCGCAGCTAGGCCAAGATATAAGACGACTCACTCGCCTGGCATATCCAACAGCTCCAGGAGATGTGTGTGAAA